ACTGTTCTATAAAAAGCTTGACAGAAGGGTGGATAATACTTTATTTTGTTTTTAAATGGTGTATATAGGGTTGAAATGTAGAGGCTGTCTTTGGAAACCAATGACATATCTGCTGTGTATTGATAGAATTGTTAGCTCAAGTGACGGACAAATAATACTTAACACCACTTGCTTGCAGTTCATAGCTGTCTAGAAGGGACAAAACTTGATAAATCATATAGATTGTCCTTCAAAGTTAATATTTGCTGTTTTACAGTCACAGGCTGCATTGTTATTCTGTAATTTTATTTTATCTAGCAAGAGTTGAATGTGAAATGTAAAACCTCAAACACACACACACGGAAAGAGCAGCAGGCATTACAGGAGGCAACAGCTATTACTTTTCTTTCCTATAGGTGGCGCAGGTCATGTATACAACTGTTATGTACTGTCCAGTATATTCTAGTACTGACAATACCTATAGACAGTATAAGTGTAGTGTAGTGTATAACTTGTGGATGTAGCCACTGTGGTGGTGGTTTCTGGACTAGCATTCTGAAGCCTCGGATTTAAAATTATGGCCGTCATCATCTTGATTATTTTGGAGCCAGAATTGACCATATTTGGAAAAGCTAGAGAGGATATTGCAACACCTTTATCCTAACTGGGAACTCGAGGGTATTCCGTGGTAGCGAGTTGACAATCACAAGGTACCCACGTCCTAATGTATACCCCGCTTTATCATCTGATTTTACTCCACATAGGACCAAAATTTACAAAATGAACATCACATCACATATAAACTCATTAGGAAACTGTGTGCTGAGCTAATACATCGAAGTGAGAAGTAGAGTCATTTTCTCATAAGATTATATATAATCTGACTGATATTTGCAACCTGTGGAGTCGCCCCCTGCTGGCCATTAGAAATAATACACCAGACCAGAGGCTAAGTCCAATAACTGAGCAGCTCCCCCTTGAGGACAATATGTAAGCTAAATTTAGAATTTGTGATGTTCAGATTGAGTTACAAGCCAGTTTCACAACTACAAAGCCAGACAGATGGAAGGTTGAAACTTCAGAATGAAAGTAGAGAGGAAAAATTAAGAGTTTAAGTTTGTTTCTTATGTCTCTCACCGGGGTTCCAGAGAAGTTGGACAGCTATACTGACTCTCCTCCTCTCTCCTCCAGAAACACCTCTCACATAGTCGTTTCCAACCCTGGTGTGAGCACACTGTCGCAGCCGCAGCTCTGCGATGACATCATCCACCTGTGACAGAAAACAAGCAGTAACTTATAACAACTGTCTTTCAAAACACACACACATCACATCTGGTCCACATGAAGATTGTATGCAGAATATGTTCTGAGTGAGCATAAGCTTATAATGTCCTGACACTGTGTACATTCTATTTTGATATGGTTTGTCTATTAAACTTAATCTTACCCTCTGCTCCCTCTGAGCTTGTGTGAAGTGGGTGGGGAGCCTCAGTTTGGCAACAAAGACGAGAGTTTCACGGACGGTGAGGTGAGGAAGAAGGCGGTCATCTTGGCGGACATGAGCGATGTTCTTCTTCACCAGCTGGGGCGTGTTGGGCTTCCCGTTAATCAGAACCTGACCAGACGTCATTGTACCACCCTCATCACGACATGTTATTATGTCCAGTAGAGATGTTTTACCACAACCTGGGAGAAGATGGTTATGTATTTAAGCCACTACCAACAAAACTCATGTATAAGTCAAAATATGTACGTAAAGTATGTACGTAAGAGAAAAAAATGTCTCTGTTCTGTTCATCATTTTAACAAAACTGCTGACATGAGATCCTTGACCAAGCTTGAGAGTGGAAAGTCATGTGAAACAAATCATCCAAAGAGGCCATTACACTGATGACCTTGATCAGAAACTATAAAACGTATTGTTTTTCTCATTTGCTCTGGCTAAATTTTTTTTTTTCTCTGGATCTAGATCTCTGTGCGATTAGTTTGCTGTTCAACTTTTCACAAGAACTCCTTGACATTGTTTCATGGTTTGAGCCATCACATGCAAAATGATCATTCAATTATCAAAATCTGTCTAGAAATTAAAGCAATTGTTTGATTGGACGTCAAATATCTCCAAACAAGACTTTTTTTCTTCAAACTGATCATTCAATTCTAAAAATCAGTCAGACATACATGTATATTCCATAAATATATATGATATGGGATGCTTGTGATGTCTGCTAAATTAGCAAACTAATTACTAAAATTAAACTAAAAGTTTTTTCTATTGTTGTTGGTTTGTTTGTTTTTGGCATAGATGTCATTTTGTGGCAAATTCTATATGGCTCAAGATCAAGATATATGCATGAGATCAACAGTGAATTTTATATTTACTGTACATGTAACACATCGCTACACGAATACATTAACTGTATACATACAAATGTGCATATGATTATACTGTGTCTTACAGTATTGTACAGTGTCGACTATTCTGCGATACACAACAGCATTCAGCTAAACAACACTGACATGTATAGTACAGTAAGTAGTCAGTGTCAACAACAAACATAGAATAAAATGAAATTTGTATTTTAGAGACATTTCCAGGGCTGACTGTCATGGTACAGTGCTGTACCACTGACACAATAACAAGATTTTGAAGCATGAATGAAACTTTCTGGGTGAGTTACTACTTTTTGCACACATGTAATGGAATTGTGATTGCACTTACACAAGAAATTGGCCAAAGCAAATGAGAAAAACTTCACAAGACGTGTGTGTTTGTGTGTGTCACCTGAGCTGCCAATGACGGCCAGCATCTGTCCGCTGCGGACTCGCAGACTGAGCTTGTTGATGGCCGTCTGCTTGTTTCCTTTTATCTCCCACGGCAACTTAAACTCTGACAACCTCTCATACCAGGGGATCTGAGCTGCCGTGTCCACCTGTGAACACACACGTGATCACATACAACATGCACATATACAATACAGGCATGCACACACACAAAGAGCAGTTAAAAGCTAAAGATGGCTGTAGGTTACCTCATAGTGCAGGTTGTTGACCTCCAGCTCATTGCACCCTCCACTGTAGGTGAAGTAGAGACTGCTGTCTTCTTCAGTCGAGAACAACTCTTTGTCTTGATGCTGTTAGAGGGGAGAAGAAAGGTCAATGAGTTTTATAGGTTAATGATCAAACTGCAATAAATTCTGAGAAAGTGAACACCAGTAAAAGTGATGAAACTCTTTCCACAAATTGCTTTCAACATTAGATTGAGACAAGTTTAAAAAGGGCTAAAATCTAAAACTGGAATCCTGAATCCACTTGCATGTGATGAATTTGTCAAATGTTATAATAACGATTGTTTGTTGCTTGCATGCTCACTGTGAACATTGTCCCAAAATGTATGGTGCTATATCTGCACATCAGACATTTTAACATTATATATATATATATATATATATATATATATATATATATATATAATGTTCAATGTTATAATGTAATTGTCCAATAACTAGTTTATTGGACAAATTATGTTTGTAAGTGCAAATAATTGCCTAGACACATTTCGTAGGTCAAGAGTCCATTTGAAAATGACCCTGATAGTACCATTACGCAATCTTTAAATCTCTCCAATAGAATAAAAGCACAAACATATAATTCAAAACGCAGCACATGCTCACACCATATCTACTGAACATACTGTATACTATGCTATATGTTACATTGTAAATACTATAGATCTTATTTTGTAAAATGGCTGATGGCTTATAGTGACATGAACATTCAGTTTTCAGACCCTCCTGGGAGCAAATCACTGAAAATGTATGTAGGTCAGACATTCAAAATATTGCCATTTTTCATGCAGTTGTCAGATGTGGTGACTGAGATAGGAGAGTAGAAGCTGTGGAATCCATATGTCTCAAATGCTGTTAATCCAGACCTTAGATTAAACTGTAATAATTATAGTTATTTTAAGATAAGCCGTCCTAGTCTAGTAGAGCAAGGTTTTCCTTTTTTTGTTTCAGGACCCACTAATCACAAAACAATTACAAAAGTTCACCAAATTATTAGAGACAAATGGATGATGAACACTTTCTCCAGTATCTGCATTGTGGGAAAAACTGGAAAACATAAAGCTGCACATTCAATCTGCAAACTAAAAAACAGAGAACTTTTATAGTACAGACAATTTATACATAATTCATATTAAAATATTCTATATTTTATGGATCAAATCTAAATTACTTTGGCATTTGACAGTTTGGCAAAAAATATTAAAGCAATTGTTGGATTTATTCTTGACGTCAAATATCTAAGAAACTAGACTTTTTTTCTTCAAACTGGGGTCTTATGTGTAGGGAAATAATAAATTATTGGTCACAGTTCAGTTAATAAATGTGGTTATGTGGCAGTCAAAGAGAGTAGCTCAGTGGCTGGTGGGGATGAAAGGAATCAACTAAAAGTTTAGACATTGTTTTGATAAAAACCAAAGTGACTACATCGGTATATTAGCAGGGGAACTTTAAACCAATGCCTTTAAGAGAGCTAAAATGGTGACACTGACCTGTGAGGAACCATTGTGACTGAGCCCAGTGTCTGTGTCCATGATGATGCAAATTGATGGTTGACGTTTGTAGGATCAAGGGGTCAATGCCCCCCTTTTTCCTCTTCGGTTCCGTTCCTCTCTTTTCCTCTCGATGGTTATCTACCTTTTTTGCTCTCCTGCTGTCCCCCTGTTCTCTGTCTCTTCTTTCTGTTAGATCGTTTGACTCCAGTCCAGCTGAAGATCTCCTCTTGTTTCAGCTCACTAGCCTTCTCTCTATCAAAGTGTCCAAGTTCATGTCATGTCAGTCTGCAGTCCCCTTCATCTGATCTGTCCTGTCAGCTGTAGCTTTCCTGAGCACAGTGCACAATTTGAGGACTGAGGTGAGACTGACAGCCAGTCAATCTACTCAGCATGTATGTTTTTTTCTCTTCTTTATACAACTCCAGATCAAAGTTCTCTGAGATAACGCAACCTTCACTGTGTGTTTATGGTTCCTGAGAGACACCACTGCTCTCGCACTGCTGCTCCATACAGGGAATGGGTGCAGAGAAATAAAGTCTGGGCCTGTAGGACGACTCCACTTCAGAGCTTCACCTGCCGTATATGAGTCGTGTGGATATGAACAAATTGATCTGAGAAGAACTTCGGAGTAGCAGACTGGCCAGAGACATGAACAAATGTTATTCAATGCAAGCGGAGGAGCCAGAGAACGGGACCAAAGTTAAAGAGTCCTTCAATTTTTTGTCAGAGCTGAACAGGGAAAACAAGAGGGATGTGTGGAGGGACGGTGGAGAGGAGCGATCAGAGCCCTACTGCTGTCTCAGTGTCAGCAAGATCTCCTACACAGTCAGGTAAATGCTGCAGACACAGGGCGTAGAGGAGGATGGCTGAGAGACAGATGCAATACCATACCGATTATATTATTATGCATACACACGGGCAGATTTGGATTGAATTTTCTGTAATTTTATATGTTCAGACTCTAATGAAATAGCAGAAAAATGTATGTAAGGTGTAAACTTAATTGCTGATTGATGATAAATTCCTACATACTGCATACCTAATAACTTTCAAATTATCAAATGATGATCTTATTCATAATGTGGATTGATTATATTAAAATTATAATTTTGTTATAAATGTCTGTTTGTGTATGTGTGTGTGTTCCAGTGAGCGTGTGGGTCCGTGGTGGGACGTACCATCCTACAGGAAGCGATGGACACGTCAAATCCTCAATGATGTCTCTTTCCACGTAGACAGTGGGCAGATCATGGGCATACTGGGAAATTCAGGTTCGGACTTAGCTCAGTCCAAAGAGCAAAGAGTTGAAACACAGCAAAAAATGAAGTAGTTCAAATAGATCAGATATTTTTAGGACAGACCAATTTCTAATTTTTAATGGATCTCATATTGTTCTGAGTGATTTTGTTACACCTTTAATCCCAAAGGTCAAATGAGGTGGTTCAAAGGGGGAGAATGGTAACATGTTGTTCAGGTACCAGTATAAATACTGGAGGCAACACTCTTCATTCAAAAATAAAATAGACAGAACCATAAAAGAAACTCCTTCTGCAGCAAACAGGGATTACTGTGTATGAAGAATCATTCTGTCAGTTAATCCAAAAGTATTCTTAAATATGTGACTGTATATACCTCTCTTTTTATACTGTATGTACAAACATATCTCTTTGTGTGTGTGTGTGTGTGTGTGTGTGTGTGTGTGTGTGTGTGTGTGTGTGTGTACACTTTGCATTGTAAAGGCTCGGGGAAGACCACATTATTGGACGCCATCTCAGGGAGGATTGGAAACTGTGGTACGCTGTTGGGTGAGATCTTCATTAACGGCAGGAAAATGAAGAGAGAAGAGTATCAGGACTGCTTCTCTTATGTGCTGCAGGTAACACACCTAAGCATACAGTATAAACACAGACAATCAGTTAATTATAACCTCAAGAATTAAATAAATTATTCTCGATGTTTTAAACTGGGCCAAGTAAGAACAATAAGACAAAAATTAATTATAAAACTTGAAAACAAAAGAATGTGACTATAACAAACAGATGCGGTGTTAAATAACACATACATTAATAAGACTAAGCACACTTCACTTTGCCCTAGTTCTCATCACACACTGACATCAGGTGAAACTTTGCCCTACAGTATCACATGTGAGTGGCTGCATGCAGAGAGTTTTTATGTAATTTTACACAGTTTTATTTGTAGGACACTTTATTTAAATTGTCTGTGGTTAACCACCTTAAACCCCAAACCACAAACTCAATGAACACGCGCCATTAGTGCAAAAACTCCAGAAAAGGATGCCCTGGCCTCTGGATGAAATTAACTAAAGACCCTTGGTAGCCTCCTCATACACTTAATCTCTCAATGAGAGGTGCTCAAGTGTATCCAAAGCCTGAATTAAAAACACTGGCTTAAAACTGGCCTTGCTTCCTTTCAAATCATCTCTCTCTTCTAGCTGATAGCAACCCCCTCTGCTCTCTAAGCCTTGTCATTAACTTCCCCTGCTAAGCTGTAGATGAGGAGGTGATATGAGCTCCTGATATTAAAGTCATTCAGATGAGAGACTAAGGGGAAGTGGGATTGGGAGGCGCCACGTGCTAATTGAGGCAGGCAGCAGGTTCAGCAGGTTCAAGCAATGGATGTGTGTATGTGTGATTGTAGTGATTGTGTGTGTGTGTGTGTGTGTGTGTGTGTGTGTGTGTGTGTGTGTGTCTGGAGCAAAGGTATATTACAGCTGGTTTGCACATGCATATATGAACATGCAATTATACAGTATGCTGCTGTATGTGTCCTATATGGATGTACATTAAGTGTGCAGGGATCTGCTGCTAAGAACTTTGAAATGTCCATGTTTATGCTGCATGAGTGTGTACCATAGATGTTTACAGCAAGTTTCATGCCAGTCACACTATTAAGTTTCAAGATATACTTTAGTTTGATTAGTGACGAAGACAGAAGTGATCATAAACAGTGGAGGTAATTGTCAGTTCACCAGTAGCAGTGTATTCTGCCCTTTAGTTAGTATAAATCCATAGTCTTGTTACTGATCTCTCTTGTAAGTAAAAAAATAACTTGTACTACAATACCTACAAAAGTAGGTACAATATAGCCTCAATAAGCAGGGAAGATGTCTGTCTCACTGCATCTCTTACTTGTTTATTTTTCCACTCTCCCTTTCCTTGATCTCTTTCTTTTCCAGAGTGATAACTTGTTGAGCTATTTGACAGTGGAGGAAACTCTGACCTACACAGCACAGCTGGCCCTGCGGAAACACTCGGCTGAAGCTATCAAGAAGAAGGTAACGTTTAACCGCTTCCTCTGCTCTGTCCACTTAGCTTAAACTTGGCATTTCACCCTGCTAGAGGAAATACAAAAAGAAGACAAACGGAGAACCAGTGGGGATGATTCACATTGTGATATTCTGCTAAATCTATTGCTAATCTGCAGTTAATTCAAAGAAAGTTATGTCAAAAGTCAATTTAAGCATTGCTTCAAAGATCAAATGAGCTGGATATTCCTTAAACCCCTGTGGTTCAATGCACAGTATCTAGTATCTGTATGATCACGTTTTATTTCAGAGATCAGTAATAAGCAGAAAATACTACTCAGGTTTACTAACAAGAACTAGCAAGTACACTGTGTACAGTTAGGCCCTTATCAGCTGACTTGTTAGAAGTAATTCTGTTGTCACCTGACCTTTGACCTCTGGCTCCTGTGAAGGTGTCGGCGGTGATGGCTGAGTTGAGTTTGACTCATGTGGCCCACAGTGTTATTGGAGGTCGTGTTTTCCCAGGGATCTCTGGGGGAGAGAGGAGGAGGGTTTCCATCGCCAGCCAGCTACTTCAGGACCCACGTGAGTACCTCTCCAGAGTTACAGTAGATCTATCTATGTATCACGAACATCGGACTTCCAAAAGGGTTCTGCTGCTGCAAATTTAAATCATGATGAGGTGAATCAAGGTAAAAGACATGGTCCCTGAAATTCTTGAGGTTTTACAGATCTCAAATGAGGAGTTATGGAGCAGATAAAGAGAAGCTTTAGAGGTCCTTCTTTCAGATTAATGTGACAAGGATTATATAAAATGGGCTGTGACACAATATCAGAAAGATTTCCCTAATGTTTTGCACACTCTGATTAGTAAATGACTGCATATGACGCAAGATATTTCATACATATACTGTTAGAAGCAACAGGACTGGAGGCAGGACTGTGCCATCCTGAGAGCAGAAGAAAGTTCACCACAAGACCTGTCTCACCCCAAAGAGTTTCAGAAGTCCACACTGAATAACAAAGGGATCTAAGTAAGACAGGAAAGAGGAAAGGACAGAGAAGGGGACCGAGGGAGAGATGGAGAAGAGTAATGAAAGACTGGGTTATCACACCACGAAGAGAATGAGCAGAGATCCACCTCTGTGTGTGTGTGTGTGTGTGTGTGCCTGTGCTCATCCCAGGTGTAGTTTATCAGGTCTACGGTCCTCCAGGGAGGTAGAAGGGTCTCAGTCCTCATTCAGGATTAGAATGGTCATGGACACACACACACACACAGTCACACACAGAGTAATGAGGAGTTCCCATTCGCTGCCTCTCCAATCAACCAGGAAATGAATTAATCTCACAATTAAAGCATCTGCTAATTCCACTCCACTTTCATAAAGCAAAGAGGCAATCTTTTAATTGTCCTAATTAGAGTAATTAACTAAAAAAAAAAAAAAAGAACTCACTTATCTTCACAAGTTAAGTTGGCCCCGCTGAGAGTCCTGCATGTGCCACTTAATAAAAAGTACATTTAAAAGTTTCCAACTTAAAACAAGAAAAAAGTTACTGTCCTGCCTCTTCTTGAGCCTGATGATGTCATTGCAGGAGTAATCCTATTGGACGAGCCAACCACTGGCCTGGACAGCATGACCGCCAATCAGATAGTGGTGCTGCTGGCAGAGCTGGCCAGGAGGAACCGTATCGTCATAGTAACCATCCACCAACCGCGCTCCGAGCTCTTCAGGGTGGGTTTTGAGATAAACTGAGGAAGGGAGAAAGAGAGACTGAAACTTCCTTTAAAGGATAGATTCACATGTTCTCAAGTCTATCTTAAAAACAATATCCACACACTCATATGTACAGCTATGAGGAGATCTCTTTCTAATGCCATTTTAATGGAAAATCCACTGTCGTAATCCTGACAAGATGCGTTCTTCCACTGAAAACACTTTTTACTGAGCTGCAGCAGTGATATAGAAACACTGATGTTTTATTAAAACACTGGAAGAGTCCCACTCTCTTTGTCTAACTCTAGCTAAACGTTTTACTCAGATTGAGGACTGTGGATTTTGTCCTATCTCTTACATTAGAATTACATGAGGTAGACATCTCTTCTTCATCCTTATAGTCAGGAGAAACAATTAAATCATTTAGTTGATGGGCATTTGCTGATGAAAGTGCTGTGTGTCCCAGGTGTTCAGCAGAATAGCTATAATGAGTCGTGGAGAGCTGGTGTTCTGTGGGCAGCCAGAAGAGATGGTGGACTTCTTCAGCCAATGTGGCTACGAGTGTCCAGAGTACTGCAACCCCTTTGACATATATGGTACTGTATGCTACGATCCTGCATTATGTACTGCATATTTACATTATAACCATGCAGCTATGTTGAAACACAAACAAATAAAGACTATGTACATCTTGAGAGTATACAAAATATATAGAATTAACTCTGTGTCGTATGAACATTAAAGTATTCAAACTGCTGGGATTTCAAACAGTTGACTTCACCTCAGTGGACACACGCAGCAGTGAGAGGGAGGCAGCCACCTTCAATCGCATGCATGAGATCACTTCATCCTATCAGAGGTCTGCCATCTACCAGAACATGCTGGGAAAAATGGAGCAGAGCCTTCAGTGGGCAGACAAGCCAGCCATCCCCTTTAAGAGCAAAGAGTCACCCAACGGCGCAGCCAAACTTGAGGTTCTCCTCAGGTCAGTGCTGACAAAGTCTTTAGTCCCCCTGTGTGTATGGATGTCGTCTTTAAAGGCAATAACTCATTACTGCCTACACATATAGTGAACTCTTGGTTCTTTTGTGTCTGTCATCTGTACAGTCCTCCCTCCTGCCCTTTGTGTGTTGTTCTATGAATATGTACCCGAGGACACGTATGCCTTGTTACATATTTGTTTTATGTATGTACTTGTGTGTGTTTAAATGTGTTTCCATGTATTTCCATGTGTGTTTGGTGTGTTTGGTGTGTTTGGTGTGTTTGGTGTGTAGGCGGACGGCAAGAAACTTGTCCAGAGACAGGATGGGTGTCCTGATGCGTCTGTCCCAGAACCTGATCTACGGTCTCTTTGTGGCTTTCTTTGTGATGCGTTTAGACAACGACGTCAGCAAGGGTGCCGTGCAGGACCGCATTGGCATCATCTATCAGAGCATTGGTGCTTCACCCTACACTGGCATGCTGAATGCTGTAGCTCTCTGTGAGTTCCACCAACACCATACATCTGTACAAAGAAGGGGGAAATTGCATTTTACTCCAGGTTTTTGATACATTGTATTGTACACTGCTAAATTTCAAGCAAGTACTCATATACTGTACTGTATCCCACAAACATTAAAAGAGGCATTAAACTGGACAGAAACTGTGTTTGAGACAAGAACCTGGTTATTGTAAGAAAGAGGAGTTATTGTTCAAAAACTAAACTAAAACAGTTTAGCAGCTCTAGGACACCAGTGAGTCTCGGTTCTCAGTTTTGCAATTAATTTGCTGACATCCTTGGACGTAATAACATAAATTGTGTAACAAGTTTTTTTCCATCAGTTATATGATGTCTAGGTAACATTATATTCCATCTAACTGCATGTGTCTGATGACATGATCCAATATATATCTACAGCAGGTAGATACGATGGCTTGAGGGAAAATTTGAAGTGCATGTCGTCTATCACCTGAGTAAATGTGATCTATTATCTTTGTTAAACAACATGTTTCAAATGTCTTTATCTCAACTGTGTAAGCTCACTTATCTCTTATTCAGAATGTGAAAGGGGACTGCTGTCTGCAGTATTTTTGTTCCCTTCAGCAAAAATGTGTTAAGCCTAGCTTGGATTTTGCTTGGTGAAGGTACCTGAGGAGACTTCATGTACTTTCAGCGTCTCTCTTAGGTCAGAGTAAAAGATAAGTGATAAGTAAGTGTAACTATACTATTAGTATTAAAGAGTAGAACTGCAGTCACAAATTGTCAGTATAAACAAAACATTTCTATTAGAATCACTTTAATTTCAGGAGTATTTGCATATAGATTACATATATGCAACCATTTTCTATTTGCTGTGGGTTCACACACTTGTTAGAGAGGCACTGTAGTTTGCATTTGCAGTTTTAGACTAGCTGCAAGTGGGGAATGACCTTTACTCTCTTTAGAACTCAATGAACCCAAGTGCCTTTTTACTTACAGACCTAGATGACCTACACAATCTATATTATAGGAGTGTAAATGTGCCTCTCTGTGTTAAACAAGTTTATGCTTCGTATTTATAGCAGCTACCGTGACTTAAGGTAACCTCAAATACAGACAACTGTCACACATATACTGCACAGAGACAGAGAAACAGAGAAATCAGCTAAACAAAACTGAATCTCAGCATTCCTTAAAACTTACTTACTGATCATTTTATACTGCTTTTAGGTTGTTTTTAGGGTGAGCTTTATGCAGATATTATTTAGAGTCCCGTGAGGTTTATATCCGATCTTGTGATATGTATTTTGTGTTGTTTTTTTACAGCTAAGACACTAAGTTTAAGTTTAAGTTAAGACATCTCTGTGAGAATTTTGTAGTTACATCAAATGAAAGGTTTACGCAATATGTAAAAAGCCTTAAGTTGAATCTATCTTAACATTAATTTCATTCCTAAGGTGTATGTTAAAATATGATATAGACAATAACTTGTGAAGGATATTGGTTGTACGGGGTGATTATCTCTTCAATGTCTTCCTCGATAATCAGCTGAGTCTAAAATCTTAGTTTTAGGGCTTCAGCTGTCAGCGCTACCGAGGATAAGAGATGTGATAAAAGAATGGGCTAAGCAAAAGTCAAACTACAGTAAACTTAAAGGGTAATTAAAAGCACTCCATAAGCACCCAAACAGCCAGGGGTAGTGAGCGGGGACTGACCTTGAAGACAGATAAACACTGATAGGATACAACAGACCAGTGGTTTGTTACAAGAGGGTTTACTGGGTAGTTTGGATAACTTTGCTGGACACCTGCAAACCTGGAACGTGGACTGATGCCAAAAGGCCAGTTCTGAGATTTACTGCCAAGATATCTAGAAAAATCTGAACATCCGCAATCCGGCTCTTGGTTTGCCTTTCGTCTTCATGGGAGTGGTTTACGTGATGTGGGACAGAGCAACATGCATGACTCATTTAAATGATGCTTCTGAAATCAAGATTTATGATTGCTCTATCAAAGCTTAAATGTTAAAGGTATTAAATATTAACCTTGAATGGGATAATGGATAAAGTACTGGTCCACTAAATTAATATTCATTAAGAAGTACTGTCCTCTGGTCTTTATAGTCGTAATTGAACCTAATACTGTATATGAGTCATTAGTAACATATTTATTGCAGTCCTTTAAGAGCTTCACATTATCTGCTCTCTCACCAGTCCCAGCGTTGCGAGCCATAGGAGATCAGGAGAGTCAGGATGGTCTGTACAGTAAATGGCAAATGTTCTTGGCCTACATATTCCACACCCTGCCCTTCAGCATCCTCAGTGTTTTCATCTTCACCTCGTTCCTTTACTGGTGGGTAGCAAGTGTATATGTTTTTGCCACATCGGGCATCACACTGTATGTGTTTTCATTTGGGGGGTATGCAAGCCGCATATTCATTCTTCCTCAAGGATTTAATGGATCTTATATGCACCCTCAACTTAAACTCAATCTCTCTCAGGACTAACTCCTATTTTGTGTGTCCCTGCCTTTCCTCTCAGGACAGTGGGGATGAACCCTGACAGTTTGCGCTTCCTGTGTTTCACTGCAGTAGTGCTGGTGCCACATATTATAGGTGAGCTACTGAAGGGGGAAAAATCATCTTTTAAAAAAAAAAAAAAAAAGGATTTTTCAAATTATACAAAGTACATAATAGGGATTCATAGCCAGTTCATAGCCATAGTCATTTTTTTGTCTTCATTACTTGTTTTGCTGTCAACATTTTGACAGGGATACACTCTACATCTTCAGTGTTTTAGAAATATCAGTATGCAATGTCAAGCCTACAGATGTGTTGGATGTGTGGATATGTCTTAAATCTCATGTTTCCACTGTTCAGGGCTTTTAGTTGTATGCATTAGTATGTTTTTTTCCTTCAGGTGAGTTGCTGACTGTGGTGCTATTAGGAGTAGTCCAAGACCCTAATATGGTCAACACTGGAGTGGCTTTGCTCAATATTGCAGGGATCCTTGTGGGATCCGGTTTCCTAAGGTGAGACAAAAATTATGCTTTTAATTGAATTAGAAAGTTTAAGTAACATTACGTCCAGCCCATTGTGATTTGGAGCTCCGATAAGGCAACTTTTTCAGGCCCTGATTGTAAATGAAGGCGTTACTGTGGCCACTGCTTTCCAGTGAAATGCTGCTGCTAACACACTTTCCTCTCCATTTCCTCTCAACAGAAGCACCCAGCAGATGCCAGAGGTCTTCAAGTGGCTCAGCTACCTAACCTTCCAGAAGTACAGCTGTGAGCTGCTCATAGTCACAGAGTTCCAAGGACTCAACTTCACATGCAGTAAGTTGTTTTTACTATGGGGCCTTTCTCTGTGTCCACCTACCAAAAAGGACTCATAATTATAATAATTTAACTCTTTCAGATGTATTTACAGTTTACAGAATATATGTTTCCTACCATGAGTAGTTCATGTTGCTTTCTACCGGTTACATTTTGATTAGGCTGGCTGTTTGTGGTAATGATTTTATGACTGTTTTTTATGAGGCATTTGATGTTGTAAAAGTACTTGACCTTGACTTCACTATCTGTAGAGGACACTGGAAATATTTCTTGGCCCTGAAGAAAAATCTAGTCCTGGGTCATATTTACAACCCAGTAAATTTAACTCCCAGCTGATTCTCCATCATTGGTGGTTCACTCTACTGTAGTGCTCTATGTGTATGAAGGATTAAAGATTATTAGCAAAGATTTATTTTTATTTATCAATTTTAAATGTTATCATTCTGCTAATGATCTTACTAAGATCAACTTATAAACTATGAGTTGAGTGTTCAAGGACAGATTGAAGGACTCAGTGAAGCTGTGAAAATTCTTAACTTTCTCTCTCTGGTGTGTTGTGTTGTTGCAGATGTTTCTAAACCTTTGCCGGGAGCCTGTCTAGTCACTCAAGGCAACCAGATCATTGATGAGGGCTATCCTGGCGCTCTGTCCCGATACACACTAGACTTTGTTCTCCTCTACTCCTTCCTCCCTGCCCTCCTGCTGTTGGGCATGATCAGCTTCAAGATCAGAGATAAGCTTGTACGTCACTAAAACCAGAGACATACATTAGTGGGCGAATCTTCTGTTTAAACAGTGAGCTATACTGAGTTTGGTTCTGAAATCTAAAACACAGAGGGTGATTTTATTCAGAAAGGATGAGTTATATTAAAGTACTGTGGAGAGCTCAAGGGATAGTACTTACCTTAAAGTATTATATAGTTCAGAGCAATGATGCAAGTACAAACAGCTTCTGTTAGACATTTTCCCAATGCAGGGTGCAAGGTGTACAGCACAGCAGGTTTAATCTGTGTTGACTGGGATTGGACATTAAACCAGTAAAAATAATAAAAGGCATCAAAAAAACCAACCTGCTACTTTAACACTGATTAGGCTCAAACATCGACTGAGACAAATCGTGCAGATTCAACTAAAAACGTCCTGTATAGTTTAAATAGCTTTCTGACTGTGGAAGATATTTGCACTGATGCCAATTTTTTTTTTTTATAAAAGTAAAAACAAAGTGGTGACATGGAATTAAACCTATGAATCTTGTTTGCGATCATATTGTGAAGTTTGATTGAAAACTGAATAATGGACTGCCATATATCATCGGGTACGAGAAGCAAAAACACGTCCTCAGTGCTAATATGCCATCTATGTATTGCATGTATTACTTTTTTGTTTAAGTATTGTGATTGTAATGTGTTGACGCCTAGAGTGATAAAATAATTTGTTTATTTTTGTTAGAACAAACTTTATTACATACAAATAGATAGAGAAGAATATCTAATTATACAAATTGTATGAATTACCAAGTAGTAAAAAAAATGACATAAAAGGAAATAAATAAAGCAAAATGTTTGTCTGTATTTACATAACTATGTGCTGTATGTGTGTGTGAATCAGAACTTTAAACATAAGAAGGCCAGAAGACTGAAACATCAACATCTGAATAAAAGAGAAATGCATATAGAGTGTGCAACACTTTTTTCCTGCTTCCAGTGATCAGCACCTCACCTTTCAGATACTTTTCTATATTGTGTGTGTGTGTGTGACCATAAAGTTGATTATCGCTCATGTCTCCAGCTCCAGACCTTTCCAGGACTTCGCTGCATTCCTCTTATACTGATCCAACTCCTGGAAAACAGACAGAAAGAGAGAAGAGAAAAACACATGAAACTTTTTCTATGTTAATGTTAATGTAGTTCAGTACAATGAAGAAGGGCAGGCAATATTACGCAGACATAATACAAACGCATAATGGTAAACAAGGTTTTGTTCCTCCACAGACATACACATGTAGATATAGGGCACAGATAACGTTATGTTTACAAAATCAGCAACCTGTGATCCATTTAGATGAACACTACCCAAACAGTTCAAGGGCTCCAAACATCAAACATTAATTCAGGCCGTGACATAAGCCAGGCAGGTCACCTGGGCCATTATAGTTGGCTCTAGTTTCCAGGCCAGCACCATGTAATGGAGAACTTTGATTCTACAGATATGTTGAAAACCTACTACGGATTTTATCATTTTAGTAGATTTTGCATTAAGTAAAGTAATTATTTTGTCTTTCTTTTTTTTTGTTTATCTTGTAAGGGTAACCCAGGAACTCATGTTTCTCACTAATTTGTGAGTGCAACTTATAAAAAAGACACAGTTCATTGCAACTACAATACCATCTTAGTCTTATTGCAAGATGAAAATTGGTATACCATGAAATAAGTGATGGATTCTAAACATTTGAAATGAAGCATTTAAGTGCTTTAATTAATCACCCACTGATAGTGCAGTGCTGTATTGTATCTCTTTATATCAGCATTTTCTTTCTACCATAGATGTTTTGTGGTGGTCGGGGGTACTTGGCTGAAAAAAATATTTCATTACTGAAAAAAGTTTGAGAACCACAAAAAGCATGTTAAGGTAAATTGCTGTGATCTTAAGGGTATACAATACTGTTTATACATGTTCAGTTAAAAGGTGACCTGTGGAGATTTTGACCACTAGTAGCACTATGGTGCAGTTTTTGTGGTGTGTGGGTCTCAGGTGCCCACGTGCACATGTGTGACACAATACACATTTCTGTTTCTGATGATCTACAGGTTGCAGTTTGCATAACGGATATCAGTGTAAAATCTGCCCTGACATGCAAATTGGCCATCACAAAGTTTTTTCTCTATAATTAGTTGGAATATACCTTTAACCTGTTCCTCTTATTGGTCACCCAGACCAATTACATTATGTGCCATCCAATGGCAGAGCACAATGATCACACACCATCAAGTGAGACTCAATCAGCGATGGCAGCATTGAGACTCCTACAGGTTACTGCAGTTCAAGTGCCAGAGTGGCAACAGTGCAGGTTGGTGTGGAGACTACTAATCTCTGAGGTTATAACCGCAGGATATATTACAGTCTGTTAATGAGACAATGACAGAAAATGCTACTACATACAGGTTACTGGAGGACAGAAGGTTACTCTGGAACATTACCCTTGTTTAAGACAAGGGTGGAGCAGAGTGTTTGTCTCTCTGTTAAGTGTGAATTCTTATTAAAATCTTTTTTATGTGACCTCACTTAACCAAAGTATGGTACTCTTAGTGTATATAAGATAAAATGTTTTTGTATTATTAAAAAGTATTGTGCATTCTGGATCATATGGCTAGTGGGTGGGTCGTGTCACAATGGCCAACAAAGCAAAAACAAAATATTAAACAAATGATCGAACCAAAGAGGAAAATCTACTTCTTACTCCAGGGTTTATGGTGGAAATGTCTCCCTGTGGTATGTAAATGTAGCAGGGTTCATTTAAAAAATGTTTGACCTTTACAGCGAGGTCAAAGGTCCGAGTCACAGAGCACAGATTTAACAGACTGATTGATAACCATACTGCCAACTCATGACACTGATTACAGTCTACCCAGATCCATAGGTGACTGGTGTGCTTTACCATAGCTTCCACAACTGTGCAGCTGTGAAGGGTGTTATTGGTCAAGAAGTGTTACCTGGTCTTTCTGGGCTCTCATGGCATCAATCTGAGGCTCACTGTACTGTGGGTCTTTGGCTGGATCCTTTAGTTCCCTCTGCTCACTGGTACTCTACAAAGACAAAGTCAGTTAGATAAACAGAAACAGATTACAAATATATTGTTTACAGAGGTAAATGCATATTCATAAGAAGGAATGCTGCATTTTACATACACACACAGTCAGTGTATATATGAATATGATTGTTCGTTTTCTTAAATATCAATGACTGAACTACCTCTTGGGGGAAGACACGCTCGTAGACTTTCTTCCAGAGGTCTTTGGGGTTTTTGGCGTGCAGAGAAGTAATGTCCACATCAGTAGTAGGAGGGGAACCTGAAGTAATAGGAGCATTATTTTAAACATAATATCAAACAATCCTGTCCGCGCAAACCAATGTCAAGGCAGACGGTGGCTTTAACTCAGTCTATGTCTTATAACACTTCGCTGCAAAACAATTTTTAATGCCATTTAAATGCATTACTGCTTTTGGCCACAGAGTAGTGCTGTGCTCACCTATTTGGCTGAAGGAGTCAGAGCCTGCTGGAATGATGAGAGGCTTGGTGGAGTCACAGGACATTGTTTTACTGATTGAAACACAAAAAAATAAACAGACAAACAAAACCAAAGCATTAAATCAATAACAGTACAGTAACATTCATAACAATTAATTTTTGTTTGAAATACTTAAACAGGCATGAAATGCATTTTCATCTTCTTCATCTGTACAGTTTAAGATCCATTTCAAGCTGTCTCTTGAAAAGATCTTGTAAATAGAGGAGATATCACAGACCCACAATGCTTGAGAACAGCTGCTGTACATTATATAATTTCTTATAGTCCTAGTAATTGTATATATGTGAAAGACAACTGGGAAATCTACCATGTTTTTGTGTTTAATTTAAGCATGCCAGTCCTAGTCCACTACTAGTTGGTGTAAAATGCTGTGTTATCCTCCTCACCCTCTGTCCAGACCAAAAGCCAGGTGGGAGAAGAAGCTCTTGGTTTTTGACATTAGGGTCTCTGACTTGATGCTAGTGAACTAATTAAAAGATTAGGCAAAGAGAGGAAACCGTAATACAGCAAAACTGGAACAGCAACAGCTGATGAAGTGAATTGATGCAATAAAAAGACAAAGAAAAAAAATGCCGATTGCAGTAAGTTTTGTTAAATTTAAATATTTTGCATATATAGTAAAAACAAACTCACAATAAGAGAGGCTGCATAGTAGTGGGCAACAAAACGCAGTGTTTTACAAACCACTTTCCTCTTGTCAGAGTCTAATTCCTGCAACACAGATGGAAAAAAAACCTCTCCCTCAGTATGTTACACATATTTTATTAAGATCAAAGAAGAACATTATGTAAGAAAATGTACAGTAACGCCAATGTGACTGTGACTATATCACCAAACATTTGAACAACATCTATTCATAAAAAACTTTTAACTTAACCATCATTTAAAAAGTCATAAAACAAATGTCGTTCAGCCACCATGTGACCAACATTTAGGTTGTGTTTTACCTGAAAGATGTCATATTTGCTGCCAATGATGAGCAGAGGAACAGGGAAGGGACTGATCAACTCTCTGTCCTGTTGACAGAGTCACAGTTAACTCAGGATACAGGATACAACTCAGGACACACATGTATACTTGAACATCTTACGTCCACGGCCTTTGTCTACACTGTGAGGTGAGATTTCCTTTTATTTCAAAAGGTTTTTCACCATGTTTCTTTAGTTTGTTACCACTGGTCTTCATATAAGCATTTTCTAGGAGACTGAGGTATGAACATTCCTAAAATAGTTCATGCATTTCAAAACTTCTTCAAATATGCTACTACTGTATGAACTAAACATTATGGTAACATAATGGCAAGTGTAATGAGCTGAGGTCTTACAGGATAGTCTTTAGGTAAGACGCGTGCTGCTGAGTGGACAGGCGTCTGGTGTTTGGCTCCAGGTCTGGCCTTCTGTGCTTGTTGTGCCTTGGAAGAGACTTTTTCCAACTGAGATTGTGCTGCCTGCAGCAGCTTCTCCATGGTTCCCCACAGGGCGTTGGGTTTAGACAGGTCCATAATGAGGATGACAGAGAGAGACCTGCGAAAAAAACAGGAAGGACCATGTGCTCTGGCTGGATATGTAGAAGAAGGTGTTGCTACAACACTGAACCTCAGACCAAGAAAACACCCTTACTTTACTGGCATGACACTGCTGTTCAAACCAGACTCATTATAAAGACACATACATGTCACATACTGCCCCTTACTCTAAAACATACCACAACAGTGAGAAAACAGTGACGTACGAAAGAGTCAACAAAGCCTCAGGAATGTGTGTAAGTGACCTACCTGATGCTGACAGGAGTGATGGGGATCTGGACCAGGTCTGACAGAGACGTTCCTCCTCCCAGCTCCCATAGATGGGCTATGTCTTTGGGCTGAAAGAGGAAACCCCCTGAATATCAGTTTTATAACACCATCTCATTACAAGTTACACATTGTACACTTCTGCAGTATTAACTACAAAGAGTAACTGGTTTTCTATTTTTGGGGGGTAACAGATAACCAGTAGGTTTAGGTAAAGAGCATATCATGTCACATAAACACACCAACTCTCACAGTGAGCATAATGTATTTCATTTTTTGTAGCCCTTTAAAAGGGTTAACTTTTCACACAGCTCCTTCTTTTCAAGTAAAATTAAAAAATACATGGTTTGACGAAGTCGCAATTTATCAGGATTATTGTGTCTTTATTCCCATTTTTTAAACAGACTCCAAGAGTCCAAGGCTTACTTACTGTGTTGTGTCCCCGAGCCCGTCTGCCGAAAGTGTACTCCAGTGCCAGAGTTGGCTTGGATGGTTCATCCCTGGTGATGGAAAGCACAGTATTGTTGTTATGTAACAACCTAATCTAAGCAAAAAAGATCGATTCACTAGCTTTCTGTGCTTTCAACCTAATTTTTGCTGTCGTCTTTAGCAAATTGAGCTGACCCAGGTTTCATTTTGTGTCATGTCAAGACAATGCAGCTGAAAGCTCTGTGAGTTATTCAGTGGACCTTTGAGTATACCCTATAAATTACGCATCCTGTTCCTAAAGGTCAAGGCTGAACTTCTATGCTCAAAGCGTTACTGTTAATAACTTAATTGTATTTTTGGTGAAGTGTTAACATCAACATCTTTAACATTAGTCTGTACAAAGAATATGAAGAGGGTTAAGAGCAAGGTTTGGTTTTATCGAGCTAGATTTGCTCATTTATTGATGAGTTGATTATCCAGACCACACACATACACACCTGTCGAGGCATCTGAGGAGAATGGACGTCTTACCCTGGAAAAAGCAAAGGTGGGTTTACTGGCTGTAACTGAGTACTGTGGCTAATAACAACAACAGACTGCTGCCATTAGGACGTGGTGTCTTTATTGTCTGTGGTCTGGACACGACGGTGAACATACCCCGGCCTTGCTCCCCATCAGAAACACGCTCCTCTCGCTGACCGTCTCCCCTCCGTCCTCCTCCCCACCTTCAGTCTCCCGACTGCGGACCTCCGCCGCAGCCAGCTCCCATAGCGTGTCTGAGCTGATAAATACGAAACAAAAAGCGACACGTAGGTCAACAAACACGTTATTATATTTGTGAAAATGTTACAAATTATGAAAATGACCATATAAACTGTTCCTCACCTTATTTTAGGCATTACATTTGATAGTTTAAACTAACAAAGTTGACAAGCTAGCTGAATGGCTAAAGCCGAAGGAACCCCAAACGTTGCCAGAGTAACGGCGCATCTTTGATGACGTAATCATTCTTAACTTGTTAATGGGCATTGTGGGAAACGTAGTGCCTTTGTTTAAACAAAACTTTGTACTGCCTACATCAGAACAAAGAGTTTTTTCTCCATGGGAAGTTAGACTACTAACTTTTATTAACGTAATTTACTATTATTATACTCAATGTTAAATTTGTTACATCTTTTTTTTTCCTGAAAAAAAAAAGAAAAACCCTTATAAGCCAAACATCTTCAAATACACTTTGTTTGTTTTTACTTACAAAGTTAAATCTCCCCCTTTTGTCCTTCTGTAAAATGTCACAACTTTATCACTGATATATTTCACACTCAGGGGTAAAAAATGAATCAGTCCAATAAAATGTGAAAATCTGTTCTGGGAGACCCTGATCACTACTGCACCCATTTATTCTCTGAGGTCTTGGGGAGGTCTTATGGTCTTTGCCCTGTGCTTCGACCAACATCATGTTAGATCCATCTAACAGTTTAGAGGTTTGATCAATACATGAAACCTGACACAGTCTGGGAATACTCCTCTTTAATCACAACACAATAAAACAAGTGTTTTCAGTAGCAGCGCAATAACATTTCCCTCTAGTTCAGTTCAACCATACGCTACTGAAAAATAGGCAGGAAACTTCCAAGTCGTGAAATGAAAACACACTTCAATTACATCTGATAAAATACTGTACAAGGATTTATGACAGATTTATTAAAGCAATACACAAACAGCTGAAATCTTCAGAGAATCAAATGCAGGCATTTCTCTGTGTAGCTATGATCTTTAAAATAGTCTTTGTTCAGGAGATCCTCAACAACTTGAAATGTTATTTTGGGTAAATCCTTTAAAATGCAAACGGTTGGTAATGGATGATGACGAGGAGTCTCTTTCTTGATGAAAAGGACACAATGAAATGGTCTGTCATGTCTTTTTCCTGGGCTCGTCACAATAGGGTACATTTTCTAGTAGAAGACTCTCTCTGGGTCGAAGCACTGTGAGAGACAGAAAAGAAAGGGAGCAAGAACATACCGTTAGAAAATATCATTAAAATATCATGTGAAAGACAAGTCAGCACTCCTGGTTTATATTCTACTTTCTAGCATGGTACCAAACTTATAGAAAGAGACAGAAGAGGAGAGAAATAATAACATACGTAGCTTCTTTTCTCCTACATGTTCCAGCTGTATCACAGCCTCTCGAAGAACAGCTTCCACATCTGAGCCCATTTTGATCATCTGTAAAAACAGACGGGTAATGAGCGTGAGGACGGATGACGGGACAACGAGCCTTACTGTTGCACTGTCACTCTACCTTCTTAATGTTTTCTTCTGACGTTTCATTTCTGTTTTTCTTGAACTCCTCGTTGATCTTTAACCTTGCAGCTTTGTGAGGGAAACATACGAGTAATCAGAGCATGCATTCAGTTATACAGTCAGGGTTGGTTGGGAAACATCATGCATCAAAGACACAGACGAAGAAATCAAACTACATAAACTCACCTGTCAGTCCTATGTCATCATCTTTGAATACAGACATCCTTGTTCTGTGCAGCGTTTTAAACACGTGTAGGACCTGAATGTATACAGACAGTCAGCTTTTAGTAACTCCAGCACTTTGACATAACATAATAACAATAACATTTCACCGATCTACTTCTTAGAACATACAAAACACTTTTATTATAGCAAACCCGACTCGAGGAGCAGAAAGGAAACATTGTTTTTAGACATATTATGTTGTTATTATGTATAAATATGAACAAGTTTCATCCTCACCTTCAAACGAGTGCCCATCTTGACTTCTTCAGCTCACTTCCGACATTGGAGGAAGTACCACCAACCAATCAGTGAAGACTTTAGAGTGACGCGTTTGGGCAGCCAATGAGCGTCCGCTGTGGTTTTATACAGCCATGTTGGCGCTGACAGTCTGCTCGTCTGCGCCAACATGGCGGATGAAATGGCAAAGGCGCAGGCTGCCCAGCCGGGCGGAGACACGATATTTGGGAAAATCGTACGCAAAGAGATTCCTGCCAACTTAATCTATGAAGACGACCAGGTATGCGTTGAACACATTCACTTATAAACTCGTTTCCTCTCACAGCTCCTCGGCAGCGTGTTGCAGATCATTGCAGGTTAGCTAAGGTTAGCTCCAAGCTAGCTTTGCAGGAAAGGCTACTTTACTGTAGTTTTATGAATATTAAGACTTGTTTTTTTATTTTTTTTTGTGTGTGTGGGTCTGTTATCACATAATAAAACCAAACCAGCACCGTGTGTGGTGAGGTGGTACAATGCAGCTTGCTCTCAGGCTGCATACATTTGAACCAGAACAAGCATTAAAATAGTAGTTCTTCATCTTATTATATATACTGTCAATGGTTATAAGTCGTTGCTCATGCTACTGTGGCTGCCACTTGGCATCTGCAGCTAGTTGGCTCTCCACCCAGGTATGACAAGGTTCACTTGGCCAAGTCTGCCTGCTACTGTTGCAGTCCTTTTTTAAATATGAAGCCACCACAGACTGTGTGCATTCATGTGCTATTACTGCTCTACGTTGGATAATGAAGTCAGCATTTGTGAACTATAGCACGTAATGCAAATAAAACCTTTTAAATATGTGCAGACAGAAGGATTCACAGCGAGACACACCCCTGTCTGTCAAACAGGACTCACTGCATTGACAACACAATAACTGTAGATTTGTATAATTAATGTCTGCCATTGTTAATACACTACATTATTTGTGCAAGACAGAAATGTCTGCAGTGTGTATTGCACAGTCATGATGTGTCGTAGTTACTGCGGTTCCATTTTATACATCCTGGTTCTTATCCTACTAGATGAAGGTGAATAACATTTAGGCTTTGAGGCTTTCTGTCTCATCTACCTGACAGTCACTTTACAGACTGATCCACTGCCAGCGTAATTGTGTTTAATAAATGTAGTGTTGTGTTATTAATGTGCTGTATGTTTTAACTCTCACAAAACGGTGTAAGCATACAACCTTCAGTCACATTCATAATGTGTTAACATGAGAATCTTTCCCATCTTTACTTTCTGTAACTGTACGATTGCAGTAATGGCCAATAGCAGCTTATCATCTCGTATTGAGACATACCATGTTTTTGCAGATATTTTATTACCAAGAATTCACTGGGTCATTTTAACTGAAACGGACAATGATCCAGTTTATAATTTCTTTGCAGTGCGTCCACGTGTTTTGCTCACTACAGTGAGGTTTACTCATCGTGCTGTAACAGTCTTGGTGCAGATTATCTCCATATACTGTATGTACAGTAAACAAGGTGGACAACATATTAGTAACATCTTAGAACATAATGCAGGAGCAAAACATATTGAGCCAATACACACACGATTAATGCGGAAGTCACAATACAAATTGAGGCAGCATTTATTGCATTATATATTGTAAATGTTCTGGTCACCAGTTTCACGGCTGTCTGCACAGGCTAAATTCTTCTTATTTATTTGTTCTTTTGTATTTCAGTGTGTGGTGTTCCCTGATATTTCTCCTCAAGCTCCCACTCACCTCCTTGTCGTCCCAAAAAAGCCAATTGTTCAGCTGTCACAAGCAGAGGAAAGTGATGCTGCAGTAAGTATGATTTCATTACCTTCTTTTCTAGCTTTTATAATTGACTGTAAAATTTCCACTTTCAGTGATTTGTCCGACGAAGTTCTGTCAGTGACCACTAGATGGAACCCTTTACAACTGACTACATAGATGTATTTTCACCTCAGTGTCATTCATTCATTCTTTCTCTGTCTCTTAGTTGTTGGGCCACCTGATGATCGTTGCAAAGAAGTGTGCTCAGGAGGCGGGCCTGTCTAAAGGCTACAGGATTGTCATTAATGATGGACCTGAAGGAGGCCAGTCGGTCTACCACATCCACGTCCACGTCCTTGGGGGACGCATGATGGCGTGGCCCCCTGGCTAACCTTCATCTCCCAGCACAGACCATCCTGCCATCATTGTTCACGTCTGTGGTCCAACAACAGTGATGTTAAATTTCGACTTAAACAGTTTGTCATGTGAAACGTGAGTCAAATCAAAACCTGGAAATTCACCAATGATAATAAAATGCACTTCACAACAACGGAGTATTGTCTTTCCTTAAACCAGGCCGTTCGTTACTGAATGCATTTGTAGAAAGTACAAAGACAGCTTATATATGTTTATTTATTATTTGTAGTGCTGTTGGGATTTAAAGCACCGCTGCTCTCTTTCCCTTGGTGCCTTTTACAAGAACTTACATTACAGCATTAGCCTGCTGTTACTGTTGTGAGGAGAAAACTAATCACTGCAGCTGAAGATGGGTTTAATGGGTCTGTGTACAGTACGTTGTCTGCAGTAAGAGACTTACCAGAATTGCTGCTGCTGGTCTCGCATAATAATTTTTCATCAGTGAGATCCACTTTGTCAACCATAACCACGGTGTCATCTACTGTAGGCACTCACACTGGTTAGAATTTGATCTTTTGTAGTAAGCACAGCTGTAGCTGACGCTGTCGATTGAACATGCTCATTGTTACATTGTATATATCTAAATACACAGTAACCTGTGGATCCTTAAAAACATTTATTAAAATGTCAATATTCAGTCTGGGGAATGATGAATAAGTCTATTTTTTCTTGTTTTTACCCCACTACATGTACCCTTTGCCTTTTCTTGGATTAAAACATCCCTGGCACTTTGGGAATAAATAAATGAGGTTTCAGTATTAGTGTCATCACCTGTATGTGTATGGGGACAAATTAAAATGTTTTAATTGATAATCTTAAGTCAGTCCAGTTTTTGTTAATGCCCAGGCAAATGAAAACAGAGTGAATGGCTCTCTTTTATTAACAGTAAGAAACAATGCAGGTAGTTGAACAAATATAAAATGCATGAAACATCCATAAAATATTAAACAAAAATAAATAAAATGGTGTTTTTTCTTTACAAAAATGACAAGAAAAAAATGATAAAGAACACTGATCAGATGACACATGTAGAATTTCAAAAATAAACATGTACCTAGCATTCACAGTCCCCTAATTTCATTTTTTTAATACAACATGGGGAGAGAGAAAAAAACATGATTAGAGGCTTATTTGTACAGACAGAATAGTTCCAGAGAGGCAAGGCATTCACTTCTGATATCAGGCCAAGTGATATCATTCTTTGTCCAACCATTTGACATTTGATGCAGCCTTTCACTGCTTCTTCACTACTTCTGTACGAAAAAACACCACAATCTGATGTGCAAAATAAGAGAAATATCTTTTAGACAACTACATCTTTTAATCAATGCCCTCCTATAGTCAAAATGGGCACTTTGAGGCATTGAAAAACATTGTACAGTACAGTATAGAGAGAAGGAAATGAACATGTATTCTGGTACCTAAATTCACTATTGCAAGAGTATCTAAGTACTAATATACTGCCTTGTCATCTTACTCTAGAACACAGACTACAAGCTGAAGAGAGATTCAGAAAATGGTTAGTCCCCATAAAGTAACTAGAAAAGCAGCAAAGTCAATGAGAAAGAGGTTAACTATACTGTCTCTGAAATTGTAGTTTCAGTACACTGGAACCCCCCCCCTTAGTGGAACAATGCAAAACTATATACACTGATATGACGCCTTTTTACAAGCAAAATTCATAAAATAAATGGGGAGCTTACAGTATTGTCACTGATGTTCCTCAAAGAAACATTTTGCCTCCTTGTAAGTTGCCCATGTTCAGACATTAATTAAATCTTTTCCATGTTCAGGTTTTGTGCATACTCGAGCTCAAACTCATTAGTGACAAAGAAAATGAAATGTATTGTGAGGTGATGCAAAGCATTAGGTCTACAATATCTACAATACCAGTATCTAAATATTATAAAATATTTAGTTTAAACAGTTCTTTTACTTTGCTCATCATTGCGAAGTTTAAAAATAAGTCACATCACCCGTGGCTGGAAAAAGTAGAAAAAAGCCAAATGGAAATCATAGGACACTTGAGTGGATGAAGCTAAGGGCACTGATCTCACAAGTCATGTCACATGGGCCAAACAGATATGGCAGCAATGATTAAACTAGTGTTTCCTTATAATAAATAAGCTTTTTCATTCTTTGATTTGTTGACAGAAAAATGGTCTTGACATTCAGAGAGGAAGGAGAGACACATGAGATGAACTGCCATATTTGAAAGAGTGATTCTCAGGCTTTTGCACAACCGATGAATTTCTAGATGGCTCAACTGTTATAAAATGACATGGTCAATAAACTTGTTTAACTTTGGTAAGTGATTATTTTGAAAATGATCATTGGTTTCCCAAAGGCTGTTACTATTGTGTAAAACTACCATTCAGTATTAGTAAGATCAACACAGACACCAACTTGCAGGAAGAAAGCTCTCAGCTCGGCCCTGTACATGCTACTGAAGTGACAAACTTTGTGCAACACTTTTTCGACTATTGGGAGAGAAGGGAAGGGGAGAGTAAAACATAATGGGTGGAGGAGAGATAGGTGAGCACAGAGATGGTGAGGGAGGCACTACAAATCCCTTTCAGCAGAGTCAATTTGAGAGATGCATCAATGGACGGTTAAAGTTGTGAAGTATCTAAAACATCTGCAATTCTGCTTGATTTGTGAACTGTTGCAGATGTGAAGCCAGCTGTATGACTGTGGTTTATCAGGGTGGTTACTTAAGGCTGCTGAAATATTCTTATACTGAACAAGAGCTAGTAAATCATTGCAGTGTACTGTATTTCCTCATAGTGTAAATAGAACATATTTTGCAAGTGTTATTTTACAATGCATTCTGTTGGTCTGAAAGTACTGTAATAAAGTCTTAAAAGTTGTATATTATTCGAGGGAACGGGCTGCTACTATCGAGGATGTGTTTTTTAAGGCATGTCCTTAGTGTAGGTAGGGTCCAGACACATGGAGAAGGCAAGAGGAGAATACTGGAGGAGAGTGGAGTCTGTACAACCACAGCGATCTGTCCACTGAGATAGAAGAAAGTCAGGTTGGCCAGTAAGCATGAGCAGCTCATAATATGCCTCTATCCAGATCCTTCATGGGCAGATCCACGATGCATCAGATGGGGTCTAAAGGTCAGTTGAAGCACTTCATTCCCGGCCTTCATCTCTGGTAACACTTAAGCTAAATTATGTTTATATTATACCCATAATCCTCTACTGGTATAGTCAGTAGAATGGCAACTGTACTGTGAGAAAAGGTGTTTAAATGTTTCCACACCTGGTTCATTGCTGTGAACACAGATCACCAGCCACCTGCACTCCAATCCAGACTCGTGTTTATTCACATAACGTTGATTTGAGGGACACTTTCTGTTCACTTCTGTGCGATGGCCTCTTCTCCGCTTGGCCGCCTACGGTTGAAGGGCAATCCTCCGACTCCTGTTAAACCCAGACCCGCGCTGGGGTCTCGTGCAGTCTCCTCTGTGCTGGCAGAGGAAGTCTGAACCCGGGCTGTTGATCCTCCGGGCCCAGGAAGGATCTCCGGCAGGGATTCTTTGGCTGGGGGCGCAGACCCAGGGCTGGTGGCAGAGGGGGACGTTGTTTTGGCTGTTTGGGGCTTGGTAGGGGTGGTGGGGCTAGTTAGACCGAGGCTGGCAAGGGCGTCCAGAGTCCCATCTGGGTCTACCATCACATTGATCACTGAGACAGAAATAAATAATCTTGATTTAGGATTTAGATTTGTATTTTTTTTTTACTTTAACTGTTTCTTATTTAAGAATCAAGATTTAATATTATAGAGAAATACTTAAGAGGAGGGCAGTCACAAGCTAGTGTAAACACTTTATCACACAGAAGTGTCCTATACATCAATGTCACATATTGTGGATTAAAGACTAATGCAGCACTGAGCATTTAAAAAAATCAATCAGTCTTGCTACTTTCTCTCTTTGATATACACGCCCTCCTCTATCATTGATTGCCATTAAACAAATATAATGATTCAGCATCAACAATACCCATAATTGTCTACAGCAGTTTGTTTAAGTCTGTTTCTAGCTCAGGTAATCCACATTTGTTATTAGTACTAGTATGATCTTTACCTTGAAGCTGCTTCTCAACTCTCTTCAGTTCGAGCAGAATTGAGGAGATCTCCTGAGGAGAGGTCGGATAAATACAACAACTATTAGCTCTCAATAACACTACACTTTTCTTGTCATCAAATATTGTTTGGACAGACAACAGTACCTTGTTGGAGGTTTTCAGGAGTGGTATGTCACTCTCCGATCGCAGCTTATTCTCAATTTCATCCCAGTTCCTGTCCTTATCCTTAAACAATATCCTGAAGAGAAATAACATACAATGTGGACACGTGTTTATTCACAGAGGCTTTGTGTGTTCAAAGCAACATAATGGCTCACTGAGGGACAGATACACTGTAAATACACGTTTACATACTCAAGGAAGGTGATAATATCATGAAGTATAATTACCTGATTTTTCCTGCTGTTTTGTCAACAGAGTTTCTGATCTTGGTTGACAGCTGAGAAACTGAATTGAGCAGCAGGCTGTCCAACACCGCCTGAATACACAGAGGGAAAGAAATGGACTTTGACATATGACGACCTGATAGTGATTGCCTCTATAATTTTGATGCCGGGATCTCCGTTGCTCCTCACCTCCTCTCGGTTCCAGGTGCGTCTCCTCAGAGCTCGGGGCTCCAGACTGTCAGGAGCACGGGGGCGGAGCTCCACCGGTTTACCGTTGATCTCTGGTGCCTTATTGGTTGAAATCACAGGTGGGATCTTCCTGAAGTTTAGGCTCTCATCAAACACCCTGTCCACCAACTGGGCAAAGACAGGGAGAGATGTAGGAGGGAGAGAAGAGTTAAATAAAGACATTTTTCTCTAGTGTTAATAGAGTTAAGTAAAGATTGTTGAGAAATGAAGGAATTAGGGACTCTCTCAGAGAGCGCTAAGCAGCTTTAAAGCTTTAATTGTCCAGCCAACAAAAGTTAGATTTGAATGCTATAGTACTAAAATAAGTAAACTTACTTAAAATTTAGGATTAGAAAAATGAGGGAATAAAAGTGGAGCAGATGGATGTAATAAATGAATACCTCTCACAGCAGAAGAAAGCTAAAAAGCAACAGAGAGGCGGCCATATTTATTGAAGCAACTCATGAGGGATGGCAAAGGCGCAATGGAAGCACACGCAGTAAGGCAATGATAGAGGAAGAAAAACGGGCACCTTTCTCATGCTCTCCTGTATATCCGGCTGCGTGGGACGTGCAGGGCCTACCTCTTCCCGGGTGTCGATGGCTGATCCCGGGGTGGTGGCGGCAGTGCTGACGGTGGTGCTGGGTGCCGTGCCGGATGAGCTGACTGAGTCAATCTCACCAGCCACATCGTGGATCTCACGAGCCAAGATGGCCAAGTCCTTAGCCAGGTCCTGGCTGATCCTGCGCACACATGGGAATAACCTGTTAACCATCAGACAGATGGAGGGGTTCTTTAGGACTCAGAGTAGACATGAACACATGCAACCTGCATATAATGCACAATAACCTGTAATCACATATCATATATATAATCAACAAAAACATTAAACCATAAAGGACAGCTCTTATTAAACATTACATTATAACATCATATTAAAACATTAAACATTAACAACTAATAGACCAGTCTCAAACAGATCAGTGCAGATCAATACCTGGCTATTTCCTCGCTGTGTGCTGTCCAGTCCCTGATATACTCCTCTTGCTCTTTCATGCGGTGTTTGACCCCCACTCCACCCGGACCTGTCACCACGCCAGAGCCTGGGCTCGCGGTGGTGCTGAGTCTCGAGCTGCGGTGTGGGACGAGATGATGAGGCCGCATGTGGGAGCGTCCTCCATGCTTTGGAGAATTCCGGTTGGAGCCAAACTCTTCCTCTGAAGTGGAGCCATACTCTGGCGGCAGACGTCTCCACCTGCTGCTACTGGACACTGTGAAGGTAATGGAAGGGCAGTGTGATCGTTTAGCCAATGTTACTGTACTTTATTCCATTAAAACATTTGTTATTAATGAAGTTAATAAATGAGCTTGTGAACATTAGAGACTTTGTTACCGAGGCAGCCCTCAGCCAATCCTGCTTTGATCTGACAAACTTCAAATACTGTGCAAGAGGAGCGATTAAATCTGTATTCTTAGGCTGTAGATAGTAGGTAGTAGGGATTGTTTTAACTATGGACAAAGATAATAAAGATTAACTTTAGGTTCCAGTAACATGTTATTCTATGCAATGTACTGTATATCCTGCTTGAGCTAAAGTTAAAAATGGGAGGCTGTAAAAAAAGAAACACTGATGAAGCAAAGCATTAGATTTTTCTTAGTTCAGTTTTGGCGATAATAAAACCACTCTGAAAACAAAAAAACAGCAGCAAACAGAAACTCAAAAGCATCCAACAAGGTACATGAAACTTCGTTAGAGCCAGGCATATGTTAAGCTGGTTCAAAAATGTCACACAACAGCTGCATTAATGTAGCTGCACCATGATGAGACAACACCATGCTCTATCAGTCTCTCAGGGGTAAAATGGGACAAAGTTGAAGTGTGAATAGAAATCTCCACAAGGTGGAGCACTGTTCCAGAACCATTTGCTCATGGGTTTTGAAGTTTGAAGTCTAATGTTGCAAAATGATTTGACAGAGAGTGTGGGTAGAGCATTTGGGTCTTCATCACAGCATTACTTGATGGATGTCAGGGAGGAGACACAGAGTTAACATGGCAATATATGCTAGAGCTGGGTCATTATACTTTGTGTGATGTACTAACACTGCAAACTAAGCGTTTAAATCTACATCTGGTACTCCAAACTAATTTAGGATGTCATAGCAAAATTTAAATCCATAAAAGTAAAAGTCCTGAGTTTGCACGTTCCTTAACAAAGGACTTTAAGTTAATTGACAGTGGCAGATTCTATTGCTGTGACCCAGGTCTGACACAAACACACACACACACACACACACACATTGTCTAATCAAGCCGCTACAGTTCTGGTACAGTACCCATCAGCTCTTCCTCTGCATCCCCGCCCTCAGGTTCGGGCTGAGAGCTCTCTGGACGATGACAACCAATGCACAAGTTTGTCACAACACAGTGGAAATGTTTATGAACAAATGTTTACACACTGACACATAATGTACGGTATGCAATGGTGTAGACTTTTTGGACATGATCCTTAAACCAAATTATAACCATGCTATCAAAAATAACAAAATAAGAATAGAAATAATAAAATAAGAAACCTTGATGGGCAATTTAATTTCCCTCTTCTCCTTGTTCCTACAATATATACAATATATATAATACATCAGAATAAAACAAAGAATTAGACATTCAGCTGATGAGCTCACCTGTGGGCGAGCAGTATCCAGATGTAGTGGTCTTAGTCTTGGTCTCATTCAGTTTGGACACGCTGTTGGCCCTCATCCTGGGTGTCAACCGGTTCTCTGTTGGTGTTGATGAGCGCAAGCCTAGACGCAGAGCAGTTTCAGCTGACAGGCGGGATGAAGAGGTGGAGCTCCGTGTCATTGTACACTCTGAGTCACTGCGGGCTGAGATGGAGCCCAGGCGGTTCCGACGTGGCTGAGCAAGCAGGTCCAGTCGTGACAGTCCCTTCCGACCAGATGGCGGCTTAGAGGTGGAGCTGGTGGTGGACACCTCAGAAGCGACAGACACCCTGTCTGCGTCAGCTAGATCCGTGTCAGACGTATCCCCCAGCCGGGCGCGGCGGAGAAGAGAGGCTCTTGTGGGTCGCGGCTGAGGCAGTGAGGCCTGCTTGTTCAGGGAGGAGGTTGTGGCTGCCTGAAGAGTACGGCTGGTTTTGGAGGATCCACTGGTGGAGGTTTTAGCAGACCTGCTATCGAGTTTGGAATGCCCCAAAGGTCCAGAGTAGGTCTCCTGGTCCGAGGAGAGGATGTCAGAGATGGGGAAGGAAGAAGTCTGGTCATCATCGGTGAGATCCAGAGAAGGCTGGCGTGCTCTGGAGGAGGCAGAGGACGGCTGAACAGAGCGGCGTGCATCCGTCCGACTCGTCGCCTCTGCAGTTCTTGTTTTAGATTTCCTCTCCAAGCGTTCACGGGCGCTTGCGTTAGTGACGCTGGTCTTGGAAGCTGTGCTGATGTTACTCTTCTCCCGGTGCAAGCTGCTGAGGGAACGTCGTTTTTGCTCGCTACTAGCTGATGCTTTCCTCTCTACCTCTCCAGCCACATGACTGGCTGTACTGGCCGTGTCCACATCTGACTCAGGAGAGATGGAGTCAGTCCGAGAGGGGAAGCCTGAGCCTGAACCCTGAGATGTGATGCCAGATTTACTGCTTTTCTGGTCCAATTTGTTTTCATCTCTTAGTTTTGCCTCCAGGAACGCCATGACAGCTTCCGTGTCCTTCAAGAGCGTAGCAGTATCCATGCTGCCCACAGAGTCACTGCGTTCACGTCCATTGCTGCCTCTGTTGATGCGTGGGATGAGCTCTGCAGGGACATTAGCGCTGGGCTTCTCAATTGTGAAGCTGCCCTGGCGCACTAGTGGCTTCCCAGACTTCTCCCCGCCTTCTCCTGCCCCACCACCTCCTTTCCTCTCCTCTGACCTCTTCCTCCGCTCAGTGCTGCCAGAGGTCCGGAGAGGAGCCTTGGATGGAGAAGATGTGGAGCTTTGTTTACGTTTACTGGTCATCTCAACGTCTCCAGCGGGAGTTGGGGACTCCCCGTCTCCCTTGTTCTCTTTTTCCTGGGGTTCAGTGTCCTGTTTCTCCCCAATTTCTGACCTCAGTCCCAGAGCTTTGGTGCTGGATTTGGCACGGGGGTCATCCACTGGGAGCTGGGGGAGGGTCCTGCGCTTACGGTCGGTCAAACTGGAGGAGGATTCACCTCTGCTGAGGGACGAGCCAGACTCAAAGGCATCAGCTTCAAGAGAGAAAAAGACAAACTCATTTAACTGAGATTCAAGTGCTGATTTATACCTTAGATGCTATTAAGTTTGGTGATTTTAAAAGATTTACTCCATTTCAACATTTAATTTGGGCCTTTTCATTATCTGTGAATCAATTGACTATTACCTCTCTCTTTGTGCAGGAAGGTGGCTGTTTCTGCTCCTGAGCCCTCTGGGTCTGTCCTGGTGTGATTGGCAGCAAGACTGGCCCACTGAGAAACCCAGCTCGAGTCAGCCTGAGGGGACACAAGAGGAGGGTGGGGGGGAAGGACAGAAAGAAAAAAGAGCACTTCAGTCAATTAGCGGTGGCACAAAGTAGCACACAATATACAGATCATGAGTGACATTAGCATTTATGTGGTGGAATTTCTGTATATGTATTCTTCTTGGAAATCAAATTGTCTGATTTGAGGCTGCTTGTAAGCCTAAATTGGACACACCAACACCACCGTCATCTTTCAGCAAAATGAGCAACAATTGCTTCTCATTTTACATAAAAAATCTATCTAAATGGCATAAAAGACTTGATAGAAATGCTGTCGATGCTCATGCACACTGTCCCCTCCCGCTTATAAATTGCCTGGAGGGCTGAGCGTGGCCCTCCTTGTCTTGGTATGATCTAGGTCACTCTCTGGGAGGACTAGCCTACTCCCATGAGCAGGCTAGGGGAGTAGAGTGGCCAAGCCATGGGAGTGACTGTATGATTCACATTATTAAACTCAGGCATGATTCCTCATCTACCCCTTACACAATCCCTATACTACACTGGACTGAGAGGCATTATGAAACAATGAGAGTAATATGTAGGGTAATTTGTTACCTAATCAAAACCTAGTCACATCATTATTGAAGTAATGGAAACTTGTGTATGTATGTGTAGGTAAACATATAAGCCGAGGTAAGGCAGACAGAGAAGGAGAGAGACAACAAGGGAAAACCAAACGTAAACTCTATTTAGAAAAGTAGTAGCAAATAAGCTGTAAAAGTATGGTTGTCTACCTCTTTCCCTGTCTCTCCTGTTTCCTTTCCTTTTCCTTCTTTCAGGTCTGACAGAAAAGAAGAGTCCTGGTTCTGCTGCACACCAAACACCTACAGAAATTTGAAAAAGCAGGAGGGAACAAAAGCTGACAATGTGGCAAAAGTTCAATGCATGCAAATCTTATGGCATTATGCATGTATGTCTGAACTTGTCATTCTCGTCTTTATCCTAAAGCTATAAGTACTGTAGCACCCTTTTCAATGAAAACTGAATACCCTCATGATCTATAGACCCTAATAATATTATTCTACAGTTCTCTTGAAGGACAAAGGTGAACTGAACAGGCAGAGGAAGATGCTGTTGAATTAAAGCATCAATCTGCACTTGATTGTTGAGTACCATGGCAACAAACAGAAATCACACACACACACACACACACACACACACACACACACACACACACACACACACACACACACACTATTTACAAAAGGGAGAGAGAACGAGAGCGGACGTACTGTGAGCAGTGTGCCAATTAGTGTGTCAGCTAATTACATGAATTAGCATAACAACACTTCCAGTTTTGAATGTAAGCCCTCAGACTAACACTGACTAGAAATACACCCCACTAATTATATCACTGCTCCTCCTAAGATAACACCTGTATACAACACTTAAAGGGACATGTGCCTATTTAAAATGTCATTTAGTAAAGTTTCAATTCTGTCTATGTAATAACTTTAATTGGCAACAACTTAACTTCCTAAAAATAAGTACATATGATTCCAGTTGCAACTTCCAAATCTGGTAGGTGGCTATTAAAACAGAGGGTGAACTTCTGTCTAGAATGGTTTAGCACTATTTAAAGGAAGTCTTTTTAATTCGTACTTTACTTGCAATGAAGGACAGAGGACATGTTAGCTTTTACGCTATTTTTAGCCGGTAAATCTCACCCTGAAACTAACATAAAACCATCTCACTGTGTTTTGCTTTGCCCCTTTCAGGCATGTTTTCTGTGACCATGAAAGACTGCTGTGCCACAAGACAGGGGCAGCAGTAAGAAACTGAGGGTGGTTTTTCAGCCTCCCTGGAGCATCGTTTTCATAAAACAGGGCAGTGCTTGATAGAGCAAGTCTCCGCAGGCTATTACAGAAGCATTAGGTTTACCAATGGGACAGGGAGGATAAAGTGGTGGTCAACCAAGGCAGCTGAGAGATGATGGCGCTGTTTTAGTGGCAACAGCACAAAAAAAGTCTCAAAGGACTTGGTAACCATAAAAGTGCAAACGAAGCAGGTAATAAAGAGACCATTAACCTTGCTCTGGTCTGTTTGTGCTTGGTCAAATCCTTCTCTTTAGAGTTACTGCAGAGTAAGTTTAAATTATGCTCTTGTCATTATGCTTGCTACTTTCACAAATAACCAAAAAAGGGACAGTGACAAATGTCTTCTGGGGTGATTAGAGTCATCTGAATTCAATTAAAGTCCTTCAAATAACCTCAATATTTATTTTTTTATCTTCAAGCCCTTCTCTAGTCATGAATTGTAAAGCAGAAAAACATGAATTGGAAAAGAAAATCTGCCTCAGTTTGTGACCAACAATAGTGGCTTTTTAGCTCCATGCAGTTTACAGTTACATTATCAAAACTATATAAAGCAATGCAAAAGAAAAGACAAAATATGCAATTGAATTAATAAATAGTTTTACATACATATCATGACACAGTACAACAGTAACATAGCAACAGAAAACAGCTGCAGTGCATCTACAAGGACACAGTAAAATACTGCAGTGTTGTGTAGTACAATAATGTGTGGCTGTTCAACTCTTGGGAATGAGCTTCAAAGTAAATTGGATATGTTTAGCAGATTCAGCAAAGTGCTTTTTTTTATCAAAAAACTAGAGATTAAAAAACATCTTACTCTTTTTATTACAAAACTAATTCAAAACAAAATACAAAAAAACAGAAATGACCATGGTGCAGGCATTTGATAAAATCTCTCCTACCTTGTCTATCATGCGCCTGGCCTCCTCTTCTTCAGGGTTTCTGTTCTCCAGTTCAATAGTGTAGGTCCCCTTATCACTGTGGTCGTCCTCTGCCTCTCCTGCAGCAGTTCCCGCTCCTCTTCCAACAACTGAGGCGTCCTCGCTGGGGCTGGTAGGGCTACCTGTTGCCAGCCCGGTACTGGCTGAACTGCGGCCGATACTCGGATCCTCTGACCTCTGCTTGAGAAGAACGCGAGCCGCTGTAGGGGCACCTGCAGTAACTGTAGCCGGTATCGGAGCTGGGACCTTACCTAGAGATAAAGTATAGAGTAAAAATACAGCTATTACAAAAACATGCAGATTCACTGCAACTTCTGCAAATTAGTTACGTTAATGATAAAGTTTTGTTCAGTTTCACTTTTTGGGCAAAGAAAGATACTTTTGAACAAAACATGATAGAGCCTTCAAAGTGTCTTGACTTAATTTCAAGATGTTCCCTCTTTCAAATGCACTCTGAACATTTTCTTTAGGAAAACTGTTCATAGAGAGAGTATCATAGAATAAAAATGAAATCACTGTTTCATTACCTGAGTCTGAGGCTGTAGTAGCAGAGGTGGAAATGCTAAACACCTTGGGGTGAGATGGAGGCTGGGGACACAGTCCCTCCCCACCAGCTCCTACACCCTGCAGGGGTGCAGTCTGGGAAAATGAATACGACCGGCGCTTGCGAGGGTTTTCCTCATCGTAGAACTCGATCATGAAAGCAGTGCGGGGGCCAGTTGCTCTGGTCCCGCTCACTGTTATGCTCCCCCCTCCTGCTCCTCCTCCCACGTGGCCGTGTGCTGCTTTTAGGCGTTCCTCGAGGGCATGACGGCGGTTGGCGAAACGCAGGCCCAGTCCATTCTCTGAGTCACTCTGGGTGCCATCCTCATGCTTGCTGCCTATGAGGACACAAAAAGAGAGATCACAGTTACTACCAAGCTTATTTTTCAACAACAGCAAATATATATAATATTTGTAATTCACAATCAAATAGATGTGTTTTCTTGCCTGGGATGGATTTAAATCAAACAATTTAACATTATTTATATTAAATAACTGACATTCTTATACTGTAACCTTTAGGATATTACATTAGCTAGCATTCTTAAATCCATATGATAACATGTGTACACAGCAGTAACATAGCAACAGACTGTTGTGCACCCATAAAGATACCATCCAACAGTATTGGGCAGTACAATACACAACAATGAGTGTGGCTGTTCACATGTCTACTTAAATCAAGCAACCAAGAACAAGGAGAAGAAAAACAGTCCCATATAAACCACAGCGCAGAACCACATCTTCCTGAAGGCACATCCATTGTGGATACCACAACAAGAAACAAATGTTTGCTAACCTTTACGGCCTAAATGAACTATGACCTTTCGTTTGTGGCCTGAATCTAATCATCCAACTATCACAATGCCTCTTTTACCTACCACATCACTGCTATTTCTACATTTTGACTAGTCTGGGTCGAATCAGCATGTCCTCTCAATGTTGTACGAAGGCAGACAGTGTGCCACGCTAATCCAGACATGCCACCCACACGGTTACTGGCCCTGCCTACTGGCAGTGAGAGAGAGCGGCAAGGGGGAGGGGAGTAGTAGTACATGGAGGGGGAAGCAGAGTAGAAGGCTGGATGTGAGTGTGTGTGTGGAGGGGGAGAAAGGGCTTCAGGGATGGAGGAGGAGGGGAGGTGAAAGGAGGCTGAGAAAGAAAAGGAGAGGCTGGACTGGGAAGGAGGTTAGGGGGAGAGGAAAAGAGGGTGGCTGGGAAAGGAGAGAAACTGGATTAAGTGGGAGAAAAGAAAAAGCCAAAGAGAGAGAGAGAGAGAGTGGGAAGTCTTAACTCTAGGAGGCTCAGGATGTAGTATATTGCCACTACAGTTGACAGCCACTCACACAAACAGCCAGTCAGTTAACGAGCCAACAGTCAAGGGTGTCAGAGGGAGAGAAAGGGAGGAAACACCACATGACTGTTGTTGCGGATGACTGGATGAAAACACTTTTACTTCACACACTTTCAGAAATCATTGCAAAGGTTTGGATACTGGAACTATTGTTTCTCATTCTTTCTCCTAACTATGGTTTAAAAATGTATACTATAGCGTCACTTCATCTGACGTCTACATCTATCTCAGCTCACCAGCAGGTCAATTAAATGAATGTATCTATTTACACCCTATACAGTATGACTTCAAATACTTACAAAATACAACTGTTTTTCATTGGAGTGAATTTATAACCAAGTGATGATGTGCAAAGCTATTGTCACTATAGCCACAGTGTGCAAGAGCTGAATCAAGTACTAGAGAAGAAGTGCCCTCTATGGCTGAGTGGACCACAGTGATTTGCCTGGGGAACTGTCCACACACCGTGACTTTGAATAAGTCTGATGCTCTGATGTAACGTAAATTCTTCTTTATTGCTAGATTTATCTTTATTGTAGTCTGCACTGAAAGTTAAATTATGGACAGTGCTCTATGAAAATAATTATTTATATAATTATTTGGAGGATGACAGCAACAATTGGCAAGGTGCGACATTCGTCCAATTCAAACAAAGGTGATGTATCAGTATATCACATTATCAATATCAATATAGGTATTGTGTACTTAGAGGGGGCACTCCACTGATTTACATCACACAAGCCATTGTGAAGCAACGGCTGCTACTTCTGAATGGAGGTGTGTGTGGATAAGGAGTCAGAGCAAACACAGAGCGATTACAGTTCAACCCCTCAAGTTTTTACTTATAGGGTCTAACACCTCACTGCCCCTCCACTTACAACCTCCATCACAGCTGTGTTCCATGTTTGTATTCACAGAGTGACTCCCGCCAATGAAGGACAGTGATGAATGTCAATCTAGAGTGGTGTAAAAGTCACATGAATTATGATTTGTTCATACTGAGGTCGCACTGCAGAAAATTTGATCTGTAACTGATTTAGGACCATATATGAAAGTGGCCCAAATCAGAATGGAAATGATGAGATTTGATGAGATTTGTGCTGTTCACACTGTCAAATATGAGCAAAACAATCAAATTTGGTTGACTTTTGCCTACAGTGCAAATGTAGCCTAAATGTCAAGATATATCAGGCTCTGCTGCTTTCTTTTTTAAAATCCCACAACTTCATTAAAGTACAATATTCAATTGCTGGAGCACTCCTTTAGGTATTGTAGCCTTGGGCATATCTGAGTCTGCAGCTCATTTGTCATAATTCACCATCCACCTCCTCCATCTTTCCTGTCTTTTATCATTGTTTGAAACTGAATAACGCATAAAAAAAACACAAAAAACTGCATTAATGGAACGAGAAAAGAAGGCAATAGAGCGTTACAGTAGCTTGAGCAGATCAGCAGATAGGCAGACAGAGAGGGGCAAGTCTTTCATGCTGAGTGCCCCAGACAAAGAAGCTGTTGGTAGGGCCAGAGGAGAACAGAGGTATCTGTGAGAGTCCAGAGCTCTGCCCCGCTCTCCCCGCCATGACTCACAGTGGAGCTGCTCTCTGCGTCCACCGCTGGGTGTATGCACACGCACGCAAACACAGGCACGCAAACTGAGTGCCCGACACAGGGATGCACTTAGTTGACATGCATGCACAGCCGCACAAACAGACAAGCAAACATGCAACCACAAACATACACAGAATTGTGCTGTATGTGAGCTTACAATAGAGAGCAATATGCACACACAATGTGGAAGTTCAACCCTTGTGACTGTTAAGCATTTATTCCTGCTGCGAATGAATACCATTGTGCATGACATACTAATCAGGAATCAAAGTCACAAAAAAATAACAATAACATTTTAGATCATACATTTACAGACTTATACTGATCAGAGTCCACAGATGTTCAGATCTTTCAATAATACACACAGTTCATATTCCAACATTGACAGAAATAACAGACGGTATAAAGATTTATCTTTTACATTGCTGCTTTCAGCAAGAAGAGAAAAACTCACCTTGATGTTTACAAATCAAAAGCTTTGGCTCAGTTGCCTCCCCGCTAAACCTCTGCCTCTCTCTCTGCCTAGTACCTCTATGACACACCCTAAGCACATCTCACACGCCTCTTCTCACACATGCTGCACTGCTTGTCTGCAGATCAGTGCTGAGCACGTCTCAAATACACACATACAGCAAACACAGACACGACAGATTTTAGCCACACAAATCCACATGTGAGCAGCCCATGCCGCACACACGCCCTCAATCAGCGCTGAAGTGCGTTTCTCACACATGCTCCCGCAGTCTCACACACACAGAATCAAAGACATGCTATTTGGAAATGTATTCCTGTAATTCCTTTTCCCCTGACATCATTTGCATCACTGTTACTATAACAACTATCTACCAAAAACTGCTCTATCCTCATTTACCGCCTCCCTTTCCGCTTTCACCGCAGTCCAGGCAACAAGCCTCTCTCTCTCTCTCTCTCTCTCTCTCTCTCTCTCTCTCCCCTTCCTTCATTTCTTTGTCCAATCATCTTTGCTGTTATTGCTGCAAATGCTGCTCTAAGTATTACAGTGAGGTTCTCCCGCCTTCCTCACCCTCTCACCTGTCTTTCTACTGTACCTGCTTTTTCACGGCTCACATGGCCACAGCTGGCATCAATAGACAGCTTCCCATCCAGCTGTCCACCTGCCCTCTATCCATCCCTCTTTGTCCTCTCTCTCCCTCTTCTCCTCCTGACTCTTTTGACTAATTTTTTTTCCTGCCTTTTTTTGCGATTTTTCTTGGTTTTCCTCCCTTAACTCGTGTTACAACCACAGTCCATTCCTGAAATACCAAGGGCCAGCTCATCAAGTTTCAATCAGCAACAGCTTCAGTTGGAAAAATCTGCAGTGTCTAGCAGACCCTAACTCAGTCAGACAGTCAGTTAGCAACATAATCATCCATCAGGTGAGCCACTCTGTCAGCCAGTTGACATGCATGTAGTACTAACTCTATCTAATGAATTAGCTTCCCTGCTTTCCACTCCTGCATCAAAGATTTTCATTTTCATCAGCTCCTGTCTGCTAGTCCCTCCCCCCACACATGTCAACAACATTATAAATTGACTTCCATTTAATTAAGTCATGACCAGCATGTGGCCTGCCATAGCCTAGCTTAGCATCAAACTTAAACTCTCTTTACTGGCGGCAAATAGCCTTGCCTAGTCTGGCCCATTCTCACCAAAAAAAACCTGGCAGCAGGAGCCTACTCAGTTGGCTACTTACAGGTAAAGGGAACAAAGAAACAGAGAAGCATGCAATTTAAAGTCATAGCAATCCCAAACCTTACCCAAAGGATACATAGCAACAAGCCAACAGAGGTAAACAGAGAAGATTTAGATGTCCATACTGACAATGCAAAAGAAAAAACCAGCCACATCTAAAGCCATTGTAGTCAGATATTAACTTCCATGAAGTAGTATGCATATAATATGTGCTCCTCACTGGATAATATGTCTGTAAATGGAGAAAAAGTGAAATTCAGTGGGTGGGTTGTACTATGCTACTCATGCTAAGCCTTGTCATTGGATGTCAGAGCAGTAGAGGAGTAGATAGGGGTTTAAATGTTTCTGTCTGCTAGGTGCTAATCCCCTGGCTTGGTTACCACAGCCAGCAACCCAGGCTCATAACAAAAAATAAACCCAGTCTTCACATAGTATAGGAAGAGACTAATGGAAAGACCATGTGCAAAATCTTGTAGCATAAAAGTATGACACAGTAGTATCATGGTTATTTTAGGGCTTCACTATTAATCGATTATTAATCGCAATCACGATTTTAGCATCCCACAATTAAATGAACAGGATCGTCTATGATATTAATGTTCAAAATGTGCGCTCAGCTTATAGAAAACTCTGCTTTTGGGGAGCTGCTCTGTAACTGTGAAATAATCAGGATCTCAATATTGATCAAAATAATCAGGATTATCATTTAGGGCATAATCGTGCAGCCCTAGGTAATGTTGGTGAAATAAGTGATAACTCACAAGTGAATATTATTGTGTTGATGAGAATCTTTTTTGAGAGAAAAGAAAAGGAAGAGAAATGATCGAGGGAGAAGTAAAGGGCCAGAAAAGGGTACAGCAAAAGCTTCAACACAATCCACAGATATAGAAATGTTAAGAGAAAACAACCTCTACCTTTTAGCCTTTTGAGATGGACCGGCACGTCGCTCTTGATGCTCTTGCTGTCGTCCTCCGTTGACTCGCTGCGCACCAGAGTGGGGTCGTTCTGGGCCAGCCAATCGGCCACCTTGCTCTCCGATGCCATCATAGCGGCTTGCAGTGTGCTCAAATCCCTCCCTCCTGCTCCTCCACTTCCTGCGCCACTCTTCTTGGAGCGAGATCTGTGGTGGTCGGGTGTGAACTTTGACACATGGTCTTTAATGGTGACTTTCCCAGGAGAGGTATTGTCAAACTCTATAGTGAAGGAGGCGTGACCTTGAGCTGTGGAGGAGACATTGCAGTTTTGTTACTGTGTCAGTCAGTGAATGTGACTAAACATAGTTGTGCTGAGTGAAGTTCTTTTAAAAATTTAATGTATATCTGTGATTTATTGGTATAATTAACTTCCTATAAATATACAGTAAATGGATTTTTTTTTATATAATCAAATCAGCTGACGGTTTCAGTTCCAGAATGATACTGGGTCTGTGCTAGAGAAACAATTGCTACTTCCTGTTTTGTGTCGTAAATTAAAGTCTCTTTGTCCCATAAACATTTCCCAGAAAGGCTGGCTTGATGGGAATTTAATGTAAATATATAATTTGTACTAATGTGGCAAATAAATGTAGTCGTGATTTACTATCTTTGCTATTATCATGAACTACAAAGTCTTAATTGTTACATTACACCACTATAAACTCTGAAAGATAAAAAATATACACACAGGTACTTTTATTCCCAGGAAATCTGAATAAATTAAATGTATAATTCACCTGTAGTATGAGAAGCACTGCCCTCTGTGTCCTTGGTGGGAATCTCATGGATGCCGTTACTGGCCATGTGACCCTCCTTGGTAGGGATTTCAAAGTAACTGGAATCGTGGGCAGCAGATGCATGAAGGCCGTCCTCTTTAGCTTTCTCCCCTCTACGTGCCTCTTTGCTGTCTGAGGTTGAAAAACAAGTAAAGGTGTTACTAACAATTTTAATTACATTTAAAAAAGGACACAGCTTGGTTCATGTGGCACCAGATCTTCCAGGTGAGCTATCAGGGCACCCCAGTGATTTAAATATTGATGTTCATGAGCACTGTTTAAAAAAATAGAAGCTCAAAGAATCCTGGTTCAAGCTTTCTGAGTTGAAACACAAACAGATCTGTATGACTTGTATATATGGTATAAAAACAAAACAAAAAAAACACATCCCAATGTTCCAGTTAGAGATGAATACTAGGATTCATTATCAAAGGTCAAAGGTCAAGCTATTCCCAAAATGGACCAATTCAATCATGATCCTCTCTTCAGTGTCTCTGATCATTTATTGGACCTATGAACTACATGTACTACAAAGAAATGCACATGTATGTGTTCTGTCTCTGTCTGTCTGTTTCACTCTGTTATATACATATACACAAAAACCCACACGAGTCATGTGACTCCTGGCAGGACAAGAAGTGCTGGTACAGACCTTTAAAACCTGCTTTGGGGCACTCACAATATGGAGCACTTATTTTCTCATCTGTTCATATTAACAAACAGAGCCTCTGTAGGATCTGAATATGATAAATGACACTTTCAGAAATTAGAGGGGCCATCTGCTTCAGTTTGGAGAGCAAATGAAGGAACATATGGCAATCGGCAGTATAAAGCAAGATACAGAAATTTACTTTGCAGACTATAATTACTAGTAAAAAATACTGAATGAATTTCTCATGAATAATATATTCTCTAAATATGACTGTGCTTCTTGAGAATGCAAGAGACAAAACAGGAACTTCCCAAAAACAGAATCTTTGAATTGAAAGGCTTATTTTCCACTTCAGTGTTATCAACTAAACTGAAGGATTAAAGAATCCCTTTGGACTCTCTGAAACAAGACCTGCGGTTGCCAGCATAAGCTGCTCTACAAGTTTGGGAAGATCTACAACATGGATTTAAACAGACTGATAATATGAGGATCAAAAGAGAGAGATCAAATAGGCTGAATGATGCTTAAGATGCAATGGCTTAACTGAGAAAGTGATATCATGAAAAAAAGATGACAAAAGATTTTTATCTAGAGTCACTACAGTGTTCACATTTCTATCCAGCTCTACAAACTCTAAAAACAAACAGACTTAAACTACAGTAAAAACATTTTATTTATCTGCTCTGTTCTTAAAAGTATGATGAACTGACTAAATTTCCTATATCTCATAAGTGTAAATATTTGTGATTACTATAAAAGTTTCCATTGACGTCACCATAGTGACATCCTGGACGGACATTCAACAAACTTACAAAAGGCATCTGCTATGAGGTAAGTGTGACTGACTTTAAATAACAAACCTATTTATAACCCACAAAGTGTCTGACTTCTCATTCCAGATTCTAAACTATTTGATCAGAGTTAGCTGATCAAATAGTTTCGAAAAGAGCCACAGGTAAAAAAGCAAGTGGATGTCACACGAATAAAAAAGTTGATTCAAACTGAAAGCTCTTGACCAGCTCCAGTAGCCAAAGTATATGGAATTGAGAGCAATACTTACCAGAGAATTAGAAAGTGGTTAGCTAATGATTGCAGCAGTATAGAGTGAGAGAGTGGTCTGTTTGAACGCTGTGTGCATGTGTGTGTGTGTGTGTGTGTGTGTGTGTGTGTGTGTGTGTGTGTGTTTGTGTGTGCGTGTGTGTGTTTGAACGAATGGGGGAGCTGGTGCAATGGCGTAACCCAATCGGCGTGAGTGACAATACACAAGGAAGGGGGTAGGGGTTTCTGACAACACAGCCTATTCACTGGGAAGGAGAAAAGGACACACACTAAACTTAACTGACATACAAAAACACGTTCTCAACAAAATCGCTTCCTGCCTCGAACCTCTCGTTTTCTCTTTCACTTCCCCTTCGCAGATATAAGATATATCTGATGTTAACATTTGATTAGAGTTAGATATAAAGGGCATGCTCACTCTATTTTTAAAACATGTACACTGAAAAGATATTTTCATGCTGCGATCCATGTAACCTACATAAATACACTGCACAACACCCTCTGGAGCATACTGCTTTACAAAACAAATCCATCCACCATCCATTCAATACTCTAGTCTAAAAGTCAATGCTGGGCATAATGCCTTCCACTCACCCACTTCCATGACTGAAGTAGCCAATCCCATTCGCCTGATTTTTTGGAAAGGGTTTCAAATGACCCTGCCACACTTGCACAGATTTACTCCAAAATGAGTCTTTTCTAATCTCTAACAGAGGAATTATTTTCTAAAATCCTCTGCAGAATCTGCATGATGTAAGACAGAAATAATTAAAATAACCAATTGTTAAAAGAGCTGATGAACAAAGTATTCCTTTTTAGGCTGATGAAGACGCTGCCAGACAATCCATCCAGATGTGGCGAGAGATTTGAGGACGCTTCAGTCTGCTCCAATGTTTGTGTATGATTAACCTCCCCCACTCCTTCTGACTACACTGGTCCACACTAAACCAGCCTGGCACAGACTGATTTTGCTTCGCTGAGCTGTTTTACGATTGGGGTAGCCTCTAATCCTGTTACTCTGACTATCCACCACCAGTCAACAGGATCCCCCCAGTCCAACAGTCACTCTACACACACATATTGTAGGCAAACTGACATACATACAGGCTCTGAAAAAAGCCTTTGTGTGCACTTGGATACATACATTGTTACACATACAAACACACCACAGTCACCATTAGCCCTCCAACACAGACCAAATAAACAGAGTTAAAGGGCATTAAGATCAAGCTACTATTTCACTACTAAGATAAAATAACCTGAACTGCATGATTCAATGTATCAGTGAGCTATCAAATACCATACTGTTTGTAGCATACAGTAATATATACCTACTGTACCATAACATTCTGGGTTTTTTCTCTTTTTGCTGAAAGTACATACCAAAATACATAAAATAGTTCTGTTTATTCATATAGAAACTATATTTTCTATACTTTCTACTAACTGTTGTAATGGTCAACAACCAAATTTCTACTTCATGTGCAATGTTGTTTTCCCATAAAATAATTTTTACAACCTTTACTCCCAGCCAAGACTACTCAATTGTGACAATTAATTTGACATCAACATCATTTAAGAATCTACCAGCTTTCTTCCATTCACAGCACCGGTGTTTTGGCAATATGATTTTGTGTCCACACATTTAAACAACTGTATCCATAATTTTCTGCACTGCATGTTTGAATAACAGTGATGAGGAGAGCGTGTGTGTGATGATGTGATTGGAGGTTCAAAATCCGAATATTATCTACCTGAAATGGAGCTGTCATGTTTTTTGTTGGATGACTTGGTTTCCTGTTTGAAGGAGTTCTCATCATCTGCATCCCCATCCCCCCACCAAGACGGCTGGCCATACAGGGGGGTCCCACGAGGCAGCGCTGTAACATCCCCTGAGACAGATGCATAAATGCATTTACATTTTAACAAAGCCTTGCAGAAAGTGCACATTTGAACATAACTTTAACTGCCATGTTTAACATGTTTATTATCTGGTACTGTCGACATAAACTGTACAATAAACATTGTATCATGATGACACAATGTGAACCCTGCTGCTTTTTGTGTATTTACATGTTTGTGTGTTAGTTCCCCTCTGGTCAGGTCTTGCACCACTGACCTATTTTCAGAACTTTAGCAGGATGGACACAGACGTGCACACTCTCTATCATGCTTGCTCTCTCTCTTTCTCTCTCTCTCTCACTCTCTCTCAGACACAAGCAGTTTAAATAAAAGAGGGACTTTCCGTTTGCCTCTGTGTCCCCATTAGAAAGAAAACTGACATGGGATGAATATCCTGTGACAACTTCTTTTTTTAAAGTGGACGGCACAGTAGAGAAATGGCAGGAAATGTAGTTAAGAGAGACAGGAATGGCATGCAAGAAAGGTCTCCAGCCAGATTTGAACCAGTGATTTAGATCACTGTGCCTCCTCCTGTGTTAACCTCTCCCTGCTTTACCCTCTTCTTTTACCTTCTTTTCCTTTAAGTACCCCTTATCCTGAGCTATGTATTATTGATCACAGCATATCCAGATAATTACAGACACTCTGTGCAAAATTGCGTGCAGTAAGAAGTGGCCTTCTATATAAAAGCTACTGAATGTATGCCCACTATGAGGTATAATATCTGGGTGAGGCCTGGTATTACAGTAGCGACACTGCAGGATTACACCCACAGAACCACAGAAAGGGTGTCATTAAACACATGAGCCGCAGATGGAGAGATATGTAACAAAGTACGTGCATATGTGCTTGTTTTTGGCCAAATGTGCAAACGTAAATGCATGGTTGTGAATGTTGCTGCATTTTATAAAAAGTAGTGCAGGCATATGGGTTTGAATTATGCACACACTCTGACCCTGTTACTGCTTAATCTGTGCAATAACACAAGCCCTGTGTGGCCTTGTTTCAACATCTGGAGCTTAAACTGGACCCCTGCTAGCACCCCAGCCTGGTCAGTGATAGCAATTATTAGGAACACCCTCAGACATAAACCGCCTTCATGGTAAAACAAAGTGACTGAATGTTGGTGTGGTGGTTAAAACCCTTTCCCTGGTGACCATGTCCACCCCCTACTGGCCTGGGATAAAAGCCAACCACACTTAATTTCACCATATTCTGTCTGAAAATGTGTTTTTTGGGGGAGAAATCCATCCTAACATGCTTTAATCTCAGTTTAAAAACATGTATGTGATGTGATTTGTGCATTTTTGTTGCATAAATGTAGACTATGGACTACAACATATGAACGCAGAACAGAGAAGCTATTGTAGAAAGTCACCATACATCCAAATTCTGTGAACTGGTGTTGAAACAATGACATTTTGGTATTAGTAATAGTGTATTATTTAAACGAGTGGCCTTGTGATAGCAGTGAATAAATCTAATTTTAAGGAAATAATGTAAACAGTAGACCGAATCAACACAGAAAATTAAATTCACAATAAATATTAAGTACCAATGATGCAAAACAGACATCCAAAAAGCTCAATACAATTTCTGAGACGGCTTCACATTTCTTATACCGTCACAATTTCCTCTATGATCTGTCTCTCACCTCCTATCCTCTCATCTGCTTTTTGAGTGTCCACAGGTTTAGCTTGGTGCTCTTTGGAGGAAGGGACCCCGTCTGTTGCTCTACTCTCCGCTGGCCTAAGTGTGCTGCCACTTGGGCATTTCAGTGTCTTTGTTGGGGTCTTAGCGGGAGACTTGCTTGTGGTTGTGGTGGTAGTGGTTTCACCGTTGGATGGCTTCTTGCTGAGCTGGAGGCCGCTGGTGAACTTTTCATGCTAAAAGGAGATGAGGAAATGAATCAGAAGAAAGGGTAGGTATTTAAGTAGTATACTACAACATGTGTGTCATGGTGAACATTGATATTTGACAGTATGTTTTAAAGTACAGGTTGTGTGTGTTCTTACCTTTAGAGCCTCCTCAGGCACTGTGAGCTCTCCTCTCACCACCGTGAACAGGTTGGTATGTGAGACAGACAGGTTAAGGAAATAATGGCCACAATTATGATACATGTACACACACATACTTTATACACACAAATATTTACTACAGTACTCCATCTCTACTGTATTATCTTCATGTAGTACAGTTAAAAACATGGCATGTTGGGAAGAATTACAAGAATAATATTATCTGGGCTTGAGCAATGCTCGGCTGCTCAGCATGTTTTTGGAATGATGAAATTACTGGTGGATGTGCGATGGCTGAACAGATGAAAAGATCAGAAAAGTGAAAGGATATCATATCCAAATCTCAGCTTGTCTTCCAACTTCAGAGTGATGTACATCTGCTCCTGGATGCGGACATCATTTACAAAGGTCTGCAGGGGGAAGGAAAGGCAAGATGGCAATTGAAATCAAATGTGACAATAAATAACAATAAATAACATTTGTTCAACACATAGCAGTGTCTATGCTCCCAAGTGGAAATCAGGGTTGAAACTAATGATTATATTCATTATCGATTAGTGGTGCATGATCCATGATCCGTACCGACCACCCCACAGGGTTCTATATATATATATATTTATATGATGATAGAATAAGACAATGTTTGGCATTTTTACTTGACAAATGACTAAAGCAATTATTTGTTGTTGAGTAAAATAGTTGCTGGTTAATTTTCTAGTGATCAACTAATTGTTTCAGTTAAGGGGGAGGTTGATTTTGGAAGCTGTAACAGTTGCCAGACAGCAATGTTAAACTTGCATATTGTCAGTGAGGTCCTTGTGAAGCCATGGTGAACGGTTTAATCAGCTGATCCTAGTGTCTCTTTGTGACAAATCCATCTGCACAGCCAGAACCTAAGACCTAAGCATGGCTATGCACATATTTCTTTTTGACTGTTTTCTCTCCCATCTCTTTCTTTCTCTCACTCCCATTCCCCCCTTACACCCCTCCTTCTACTATGCAGCTCTGAGACGGATCGGGTTTCACTGAACTGTAAATTAAATTCTATCATACTTGCACTGCTGTTGTAATAAAACATTCCTGTCTCCTCTCTAGTGGGGTGAATTCACGACAGCTTAACAAAACAGTGACGAACACCTCCAGTAAGACAGCAAATGGTGACACTGCCCAAACACAGCTTTTTACTCACCACTGTGGCAAATGTCAATATATCCACTGACTCAGCAGTTGAAAACTTCCTCTGAATCCAGCCGAAGAAGCTGGATGGTTAATGACACAGCAGGAAGTGGCTCTGACTCTGGCTTCCTGTCTGAGAGCTGGAGAGGATGTTTGGGACATTCTGCATATGTGTCCAATCTGGTCGGCCGTGACTGAGTGCTAATCACTACACATGACTAACAGCATGTGGACACTGTAACTGGGTTTTACTGAACTACAATGTCAAAGAAAGAAATAGAGTATCTAAAATGGGAAAAACACAGAGTTAATTTGTGTTTCTCACAGTTATATTAGTTATATATATTGTTCAACACCTCTACTAAACCATCACATTGCATACATAAAAGGGGAGTCTCTCGTTGGGTTTTGAGGTTTAGTGGCCCTTTGTCTATATTTGGATCACAGATTGTGCCCTTAAATTGTGATTTGCATAATTAGGTTTAAATTCGAATTGATCTCAGCCCTGATACTAATCTTCATTGACAGAGAGATTGATTAGCAGCAGCAAAATACAGGATCCTATTGACTGCCGAAACATAAGTTAACCTCTAACCCTTCAGAACCTCAGCTCTGAGGTCTTCACCTTGAATGTCTTTGATTTTTTTCCTCTGTATCTCTTGAATTCTCTCTATCTTTGCAGTCCCGATCCATTTCCCCCTTAACACCTTTACCTCTCCTTCAGCTGGTTCAACTCATTCTCTTATCTCTCCCCAACTCTCATCCATTATGTGACCCCCTTTTCTCCTCCCTTCTCTTCTGTTCTGTTTTTATTATCTCTTGTCCTTTTAACTTTGTCCTAACCTCTCTGTTCTGCATTTCCATCTGTGCACTCACCCCATTCAGGCTGCCCAGGTCCTTGACCTTGTGTTCGTCAGTCCCAGCCTCGTAGTTGATGACTGCATGCTGCTTATCCACGCTGCGGGACTTCAAACAAAAACATATACATGGAAAATTAACCCAGTGGTTACAGTTTTTAAGTCATTGTTAAGAACTAAACATCATCATCAGATGTTGTTGGTCCAGATTTCTTAACAGAGGGAAATATTAGTTTTGCTCTTCATCTGTGCTGTTCTTCTGCACAATAGCAACTATTTCTTATACAAACCATTAGAGGGCTGTGTGTGACTGGAGCAGACTGTGCTGTGTTAAATCTGTGTGGAGGTATGAGCATCCAATGTCAAGAATGTATTTCTGATAGTACCTCAATGTCACTATGTATCTACGACAATATCAACTTGAGGCATTTTAGCAGTAATGTCAATCTCACACTACATGACATTGCACACGACATACTGACAGCTTCACATTCATGCATAGCTACACACACACACAGAGAGAGAGGAGAGAGAGAGAGAGAGAGAGAGAGAGAGAGAGAGAGAGAAGGAAAACACTAGAACAATGAAGGACTGGAGGTGAAAGTATTGATTTTCCACGGTGCTCAGATATGCCTATGAGCTGTTTTGAGGATAAATTGCTTCCAGCACAAACACTGCAACAAACGTTGCAACCTTGTGCATGGTGAAAAAACATGATGTGATAAAAATATATTGAGGAATTCATGTATCACTGTCACAGAATTTGAAAAGTATGTAGAAGTATACATGGACACTGACTGATTAGTAAATCTGCAGCAGTCTTCAAATGTCTGTTAGAAGGCCCTTCAGACAAGGCATGTCAATAAAATACAAGAAGCAATGTGACACAATGTCCTACTATTGTTTGCTTTTTTTCTATTGGCATTAGCAGATCCTTTTTCAATATTAGTTATGGTGATACAAACATCTGCTGTGTCCCAGTCTACAGCTGCTGTTCTGATGTTCAATTTTATTCAAACTTAAGAAATTCCTAAGTGATCAGCTCATATTTGGAGCGATTGTATTTCAGTTTCGGCCTTAATTTTCTCCAGTGCTGACTTAACCGAGTGATAATATCTGATACACATGTGAAGATGTTTAAACACTGTTTCATCTAACAAACCAATTAATCACTTTATCTGACTCGTGAATCACACATTTGATTTATGAGACAAAATAAGAGGAAAACTATAAAAGCCAAACATTTAGTCATTTCCACAACAAGATCCAGGCAAGAATGAGTTTATTGTGCTGATTCTGTGAGCTGAATCACATGTTCAATTCATGTTCAGTGAATCTTTCCTATAACCTCACTACTCCCCTTGTTTAAACAAAAAGACACCTGGACTGCATACTGACACTGAAGCCAACTGTCGAACAGATTACCTTAGTGAGATTAGGCTAGATCAAACAGGATAGAAACCAACTGAGCTGTCTGTTGTACCTCACACCACAGGACAGAGCAGAAACATGCTGTTACACACAGATGTACTGCTGACCAACTGAATATGTGCAGAGGCAAAGTAGAATATGCATGTAGAGTAGCTCAACGTAACTATAAAGTGAGTGTCAGCAAAGTCAATACACCTGAAGAGAAAACAGAGTGTTCAAAATGAGCAGATACAGAAAATTTTACCAAAATGTGCTTGTAGGAGTTAACCTGTATTACTGTAATCTTGTGCATATAGTCAGAGAGTGAAAGAGAAAGGGACAACATGATAACAAGAAGAGGACTAGATAGACAAATTTGATTCATCAAGGAAACAAGAAAAACACACACACACACACACACACACACACACACACACACACACACACACACACACACACACACACACACACACACACACACACACACACACACACACACACACACACACACAAGAGACAGAAGAGACAGGAAGAGTTCTAGCCTCACAGACTTTTTTGTATCCAGTTTATTGCTACCCAGAGGAAAATATATAGTTCATGATTCAGGCTGACACCATGAAGACTATGTTCCTGTATTTATTACACTCATTCCCCTTTCCAATAAATAGATAAAGAATAAATAAATCAAGAATCTATTGTGAATCATGAGGCCAGAACAGAACTATCAAAACCATTGATATGTGTCTGATTGATGTAAAAAAAAAAAACTTCTGTGGGATGACACCAGAAGATTTAGAAAACCTTCACTCAGACCACTGAAGTAACAGTGTGAGTCTCTGTCATACAATCATTTGAAGTTTGATATTCTTCCACGAGTGTTGTGTGTTTGTGTTTTATTTAGTGCATGACACAAGCAACCCATAACATTTTTCCATGTGATGAGGCCTTGGCTTGTTAAAGCAGTCACATGGAGGGCAACTGAAAGCAGCTACACAAAACACACACACACACACACACACACACACACACACACACACACACACACACACACACACACACACACACACACACACACACACACACACACACAAAAAGCCCAAAAATGTCCTCAATTTGAAAGATTTTCTTTATCTTCCAATCTATCATTCCAAAGACATCACAAGGGTAGGAATACAAAAGCACACACACATACACACACAGGAGGAGCTGTAACCCCTCAGGTCATCAGAGACATATTAGAGAATGTGTTTGAAAAAAAAAAACAGATCTTTTACAACTCTACATGCTTCAGTAAATTACCCTTATTATTTCTCTACTTAAGTTTAGTTATCGAAGAACAGGACTGTGAGAGGATTTAGGCCGGTTAGAAAATTAATAAAAACTCAATCAGAAGACTGAAAGGGCAACATGGTCGACTTTAGACACAGATCTGCTGTCTTTAACTATGAAATGTCTGTCAACACAAGAAGAAAAGACCAGAAAAAGCAGTGCTCAAAAAAGTCTATGACAACTGGACAAACGCTATCTGTTGAGGATTGTGTGTTATAATCAAAAGCTCCAGAATAGCAGGTAATTTATGTATGTAAGTGTTTTTAATCATGGACAGCAGGCTACAAGCGACAAACTAATGAAAATAATTTGTATGATAGACTGTCTCTAAATAAGAAAAGCTGTTCAAAAGATTTATCTCGTCATCAATTTGAGCCTGGTTTGTTTTTCATCGAGCCTGTAAACGGATTCATAGACTGCAGGACTGCTAGTTAGAAGCCTTGTCTGATAACCCTGACATTCATACAGTGGCGACGAGTAATGAGTAAGAAATTAAATTTTTTAAGTAACTAGCCCAACACTGGTCATGAACTACTGTTTATTCACAAATGAAATATATATTGTATGCTTTTATAATTCAGTTTTATGGTTCAACAAAGAAGACCCTTAAATACATTACATTTCTACATATCTCCAAAGTTTGGATTTGATAATATAAAGATCAATACCACCAATAGGACTACATTGCATCTAGAAGGCACGGACTATGATTTATTTTAGGTAATAATAACAAATACATGTGTGTGCTGCAGAGAAAACAAAAACCTAGAAATAAATCAAATTTAATGTGATGATATTGCGAAAAGAGCCACAGTAATTCATAAGATAAAGTAGGCAATCTGAAAAGTGAGGTCAATTTCAACAAACACACTAAAATATTATATATTAGTGTCCTGAATGTCTTCTACACAATCAGACTCTCGGACAGACACTGGTACCAGTACTTTTCTCAGCATGTAATGTCATAACAGAGACTGCTGCCATAGATGCAGTCTCTACCTAATACAACAGACTCAGCCAGATAAGATCTAACTCAGGAGGTATCTGCCCCACTTTCTATTTATAGTACAGTGACCAGAGAGGTACACATGAGCATACACATGGTCTCCCTGGACGTATGCACAGCTGCACACTACCTCAGTACACACACACACACACACACACAAACACACCAACATGAAGACATATAAACATGTTCTGCTACTGCAAGAGCAATGACATGCATTCACAGCTCATTTTTAGTGGACTCACTCACACTCATTAAATAGTTAGCTTATGAAACAAACTGCTGTGAGGTCAGCAGGTTATTTATATGACTGAGAGGCTCTTTGTGTTCACTGGTTATCATATTATCTTAAAACCTGGTAACTTAGACTCAAACTGCTATCAGACTGCCATTTTTCTTTAATAAACACAGTTACAGAAAGAGAGAGAAAATGCCATAATTACATCTTGCCCATTCTGCTTTATTGAAGCTTCTCCCATGGAGAAATGTGTGTGCAACGTGTTCTCACCTGAAGCATGAGCTCGCAGTCATCCCGGCCGACAAAGATCATTTCCCGGGGGAGTCTGTGGCGAGTCCCCCCACTGCTCACCAGGAACCAGGAGGTCACACTCATCTTTGTAACCTGCTGCTGCCTCTGGTACACACCTATTGGGACAAAAGCATTAAGCAGGAGGCAAGCTGTAGATCAATAAACAGAGTTGGCTCCCTCGGCTGTAAAACTGCTCCATAAGGATGAAATATTTAAATTAAACTGCTGCTCTGGCACATTTGTCCTCAAATCATGATGTAAACAACTATATAGGAGCCACACTTCTGAGAATCATTCTCTGTCTCAGAATTGCTCATAGTATATCATCTAAACAAGTTGCATCTACAAAACATCTGAAACAGTTAAGAGATATTATTAATATATAAAATATTGATTTTTTGAAACAACAAAGTCAAATTTTTACACAGTGTTTCTTTAAAACACAGACAGAAACAAGCGAAAGAAAATAATTCATTTTGGTGACCAGATTACCAGATATTATGGTGTTAAAGGAGACTAACACATTCCACCATTGTTAGTTATCAAATTGCACCTTGTAATATGTAAAACAATTATTAAATAATAGTACTTTAAGAGAGACAAATCTTAACATTTACAAATATGGCCCTAAGGTTGGAAGACCATTCTTTTGTCTTATCTCAGTGTCAAGACTAAGTTAACTAAACTTAAACTAAGTTGTTTTAATATTGGAAAATAGTCCATTCAATTACACACCTCTGGTCCAGGTAGCTCACTGCTGATAGACTGCAGACAACACAACACAGCTAGGCCATCCTGAGAAAGGAAAAATAGGAGAGAAAATAAGTGTTTTTTCTTGTTTCTTCAATTATTTACAGATGTATTACTTACAGAAGCAGGCAATAAAATGTGATTCTTTGCATCATGATATAAAAAGCTGTATGAAAGCAATAAAGGAACACAGTCGAGTCACGGGTAAAGTGTAAACATTGGTAGAGATACACTGAGTCGAATGAATCTATCTTGCTTCATTTTGTTTTGCTAGTAGGGGGAATGAGGTTGAGTGGGCGGTCTTGCAATGTGATGCCTCACTGTCCGCGCCTGGAAATGAACACTAAGCCAGCCAGTAAGATGCATCCTCTCTTTCTCTCTGCTTGCCCTGATCATTGCCAGATGTGAGAAGAGGAAGTGATGTAGGAATGTTGGCTGGCCTCCCCAGCAGGACATTTATTTTCCCTCCTGCTTAAGTCCTCCCCTCGATCTCCTTCAGACGAGCTGGAAAGGAGGTCAAACTAAGCAGTTAGAACTCTAACGTTCTAACTGCCGCGGCCTGAAAGAACAACTTTAAGCAGTACTAACTGATGAACATGTTATCTGTATGGCTGTCTACTAACTGAGCATGTTAGAAGTTTGGTTCAATGTTTGATTGAGTTACTGGTGGAATTCATGCTGTCTGGCTGAGCAACTGGCTGCAAAATTTAGCAGGCAAAAATACCTTTTCATAATTGAATTCTTCACACTGTCACAAGATGACAACAACACACAGTGGCGCCTCTCTCCGAGTGAAGTGTAGAATTTGCTGCCTCTGTTATGAAACTAATTTTAAAAGATTGCTGCATTTGGTTCCACCTTAATGTTAATAAAGTTATTAACAGGTTTATACAGTTTTAATGTTTTTCATAATTATTTATTTAAAAATTGAACAGGCTTCAAAGAGAAGCTTTTCATGGTAATTTCCAGAGGTGCTAAAATAACAGGAGCGCTGTCATGTGTAGAAAGTGCCAAGAAAAGCCCATCAGAGAGGGAATTAAAGATTATTGAGCTAAGCTCTTGCTCGCTTGACCTCATAAGTACTTGGTATACCAACTCAATAATCCCCTGGGTAAAATTTTAATCAACTGCACACCTCTGACAGTTGCTTGCACGATGCTGTTGGGATGTGACTGTACCAAAGCAACAGCTGTCTCTGAAGTAAAAGGGATCAGCTTTTCATCACAATAACAGCTCAGGATATTTAACCATTGTATGTGATATGTGACACATTTAATGAGGACATTTTAGACAGTTGTAAAGTACTGCCATATAAGTATCTCCTGTGTATCTTAACACCTTTTTATATCAGCTTTACCTTTATGCTGTTGTTTAGTGTCAAACAGTTAATATGTGGACAAAGAGAGAAGGGACATTGATAAGATTGGTTTATGTCCAAAATTGACCAGACTTATGTAAATACTGTGCATCCTCATAACAAATTATCCATGGAACAAGTACAAAAATAAGCCTTTATTATATTAACAATTAACAATAACTATAACATAAAACTCACTCAAACCTTAACTGAATTAAAATGTCCTAACTTTAACCAAAATAAATTTCCGCATCTTTCACCAAAATAACTCTCAAAATATAACTTAATTTGGGGGAAAGACGGACTACAGGGAAAGAACAATGCAAGATTTGATTTCCTTAAATCCAATCAAACCATCTAACCGTCACTGGCCAGATTTCAAGTCAGCATCTCCTGCTTATATGTTGTGCTGGTATTCACCAGCCATGGTAACACTGCAATCATACGATCACTATATATGTAAGCGCTATTGTATTTGGATGCGACACTGGAACAACACACTATGCATATTATCAGAGAAAGCCTATAAAGAACAACAACAGCATTGCCATTACACTATAATTATGTGTGGTTTCCCCTCCCAGCTGTAACCAAAGTGTCTAAAGGCTTGCCGTCTCAATAACCACTGCACACTCACTGCAGAATGCAAGGTTAACGAGAATGTGGTTGAGAAGCCTGAATGCGATGCATACCAGCCTGCGTGGTGCCATTAAAAAACCTTCTTGCTATCACACATAAAAGACATGGCACAACTGGAGGAATGCAGTGGTAGGTTTGATGAAGGAGACATAGCTGTCTGCTTTACATGTGCTCCTTCCTGGCCTAATGTTAAACAGTCAGTTCGCCCAAATTACAAAAAAAAAAAAGCTTAACTCAGTGTCTAATCATGCAGGTAGTTTTGAGATATCTATCTATGGGATTACTACCTCCACCACAATATGATAGAGGTAAGAATAGTATCCAATGTTACTCTGGATAATCCATAAAAAATTCAACTATAACTCAAACAATTAGTTTGAATGTTTGAATGGTAGAATGTTTTGGTCATTCAAGCAACGCTGCTAATACTCTCTGCTTCAGCAGCTTTTCAAATGTGAGGATTTGGTGCTTTTATTTGTCAGACTGTTGGTCAGAAATAGCAATACCATTTTTAAAATTTTACTGAATTTTTTCTGGGAAATTCCAGTGAGCACTTTTCCCTGTTGTTTGACATTTTATATAACAAAAGATTAAATTATTTATCAACAAATGAATCAATACTGAAAATAATAATGATTACCATTTGTGAAAGTATAAACGGTTTTTTTTGGTAATTTGTTTAACCTTTTATTCCAAACATTTTGCTCTGTCTCGATGTTATTCATGAAACGTTGTTTGCTACTTTTTATAAGGGCTACCATACCCATGTTTCATCTAAAATGCAAAAAAAAAAAAAAAAAAAAAATTTTTAACAATGTTTAGATACTGATGAAAAAAATCTAACACTCATGGTTTTTTCAGACCTTACAGCAACTCAAGTCTGCTTGGGCCAATAGTGACCTCACAGTTTTGGCGGAATTCCCCCCCCCCCCCACACAGAATTAAGGAGTGAAAGGACAGGATTATTCCAAGATGACTGTGAATTCTTTGTATGGGGGAGATGGCAGTGAAGAAACAGGAAGCATGCACAGCAAATCCTGTGGTGGACAGAGCTCACAGTAGATGTGCATCTGACATCCATTTGATGACTGTCTGACATAAATGAAAAACCATGTGTCATCTGCAGTGAGGCTGCTCATTCACAGCTCAAAGGAATTGAATCACACTGCCATAAGGAAAATCATCTTCAACACTAACACAGGGGTAGATTTGAAACAAATGAGTATGAGCACTGCTATCATTATTCATTATATAATAAGATGTTCAGACATTTAAAATATGATGTGATTATAAAGTAGTGCTGGGCAATCAGATTTATTGGCTGTGACTGACTGCTCCTGCAGTTATTTTTCCGTTCTCCAGCAAATTGTTATATAAACGGTCTTTTGTCTTTTAAACAATTCAAAACTCTTCCCACCACTCCAAACCAGCCAATCACAGACACTGGCTGACAGGGGACAGGAAATGATGTCACTGAGCGCCAGTTTATTTACTGTCACTGTTTGCTGCAACACATGGCTGCTGCTCTCCACGTAGCATCTGGATCCAGTGTGTATCCCAGGATGATGCAACAGCTGGGTAACCATCACTACTGCTCATCTGATTTTTTCTGTCTAAACCTCCCTGACCGTCACATCACCACTGCAACCCTGATAGCTGACTCAGACCACATCACACACACTGACAGCCACTGTGTGTAGCCTCCACACACAGGGAATTACTCAAACACACATGCTAAGCAAACCAAAGTGAGAAAGACACTAGGAGATAAAGAACCAAGAAGAAAGAGACAGACGGACACAGAGAGACAACTCATGCTCACGTCACACACATTTCCACACGGTCTTATGATGAGAGCCAAACTTAGCTCAAGTTTGGGTGTGGTTGTCTTCCTACATTGTAAAAATGTAGCTTGATCTCAATGCAGATACATTAAAACGAGCAGCTACACTAAATGCTAGCATTACAAAACCCATAAAGTAAAAAACATGTTTAGCTAGGTGACACCCTATGTGAAGTGCTTCTAAGGGAAGTAGTAAAGACAAAAGAAAGATACTGTCGTCTGTCATATTTTGCTACTCACTGATAAATAGTGATTCAATTGAAAAGCTTTTAGGCATTTGTTGCAATGAACTTTTATGTCTGATTGGTCTTTCCCAGGAGGAGAAATCAGCTGGCAGACATGGGGTAATGCATTTAATGTTTACAACAGCACACTGTTCCGATATATAAATAGTGCTTAGTAGTTACAGTAGCTTGAACAGTGATAGCCCCCCTTGGCTGAACAGACAAAGAGAAGAGCTGTAGCTGTATTAAATTAAACTCTACAAACAAGAAAACAGAAAAAGAATATCATGATAAATGGCACTCTTTCATTGCAAAGGTATTTCTCAGAAGTTTAGTGCAAAACCACCACAGCAAAGATGGCATAGTACCAAGATGTTGCCATAAAGGAAAATACATGACTCGTAGATTAACACTTTAGGTAACGCGTGAAATTCAAGTTCTGGCGTAGATATTGTGATCAATATGGTAGCTTATCAACAATGGAAAGAGGAGCAAGGATGGTACATGGACAGCACCTTGGAGGTATAAGCAAAACCAATAAAAGAAAAGTAGATTGAAGGACAAGACAAATAGAAAAACAGCAGCCTGTTCCCTTGAAAATGCTGATGTAAGGTCAGTAAGTCAATACGTAATAGACGAGGGAGACTGAATCGGTCTTGCAAACCTAGAGATGCTTTGGGAGCAGGGAAGCCTGCAGACCCTGAGGGGTGTAAAGAACAAACCAGGCAACAGATTCAAGACGAGACAGCCAAGCAACCTCTGGACAGACAGACAAACGGACAGACAAAGGGCTTTTCTAGTCCCTAATGGGTCTAGTCTACAGTAGGTTTATAAACATGAAAGGGTACAGTAGAGGAACAATAGATTGTATACTTCCAATCTATTGTTCCTTTCTCAACTTCAGACAAAAGATAGACTGGACTTTCTCTACAATGCAGATAATGATACACTGGACACTTATAACAAGCTGAATCAAAAAGAATTTAACTTTAATGAGCTATGATTTGTTTCTCTTTGGATAGTGGATTTTAAAGAGTTTTAAAAAGGATCAGCATGAGCATTACAGTTTTATGGAGTTCACAGGTGTGTTTCACTAACGTACTCTGACACTAGTGTAATGACACTTAATGTCTTGTAATGTTCCATTTTTTAAATTGATTGTGTATGTGCGTGATGCTAATGTCACACTTGGAAGAAGGAATGAGCATATCTGTGTCAAGGCTCAAACAGGAAACTCCAGCACTTTGCATGATAAGTAAATATACAGTAGGTCTACAGGACAGTCAGTCAAATTAATAGTTATATCAGTTAAATAATACCTCTGAAATATTCTTGGTCTAAAATTAAGAGTGCACAAAGGAGCACGCTATGGCTGCTCAAGGGATATCAGTCTTAAAGTGTTTGATTCTATCTGACATTTGAATCAAGTTGGCCTATTTTACCCTCCTCAAAATTGAAGAAAATCTGGCTAAGAGCAAAACAATCACTAGGTATATTCTGTTTAAGGGACCTCCTCTTAGAAAGAACCTTGTCTAAACATTTTCCTTGTCTAGTCGCTCAAACAACATCGTAATTTGTCAGAGAAAACCTAAAAACTACAACTGGAGGCTGAAATCCATGATAAGCATGTCTGTACTTTGAGGTTTGTCATTATAAAGACTCATTTAGTGACCTCAGGCTGAATGTAGTCTGACAGTATATCCCAGCCAAGGATGCTCCTCCAGCCTACAAACACTACTTGGATAGGTGGAGCCAAATGAGGATAGAAGAACATTTTGACACACATACAAAGTAATCAGCTGTATCATTTGCCATTTTTCTCCTCAATAACATGTACATATCCAACAACAACAACAACAATAACAACATGTTCACATGTATCAAATGAGAACGCTAAAGTGGGCCATGCTTTCCCAACTATGCTTTTGCTTTTAGGATCAAGCACTAAATTTTAATTTAAAATAAAAATGGGGGAAAAAATTTAACAAAGAAAAAATAATTTAAGCTATTGAATGATTGACTTTGAATAGCTTATAATTTATGCAGCCAGATAAACACTATACACCAACATTAATCTCTTACAGCAGGATAATAACACCATGCAGGCAGATAATAAATCATTACGCTGTCAGTACAGAACCTCAAATCTGCTGAAGCTTGAGTGTGCATGTGTATGTATGGCGTTATGTGTGTTAATGCGGTGAGTACATGCAGCGTGCAAGTGAAAAAAAACTGTCCCATGCAGCAGAAAAGACCATATGGTGCAGAAAAGCGGCACATGAGCAGTTGGCGAGAGGAACAAACAAGCAAACACCTCCATTTAGCCAGCATCCATCCAGCCTGCTCCATTGTTATTACCATAAACAACCCAGCACACCCCTGGCCATAAGACATAAACCCGCCACATGCTCGATGACCCCTGGGTTCCACGTGACCTACAGACCTACATATGGAAATATACACTTCATGGATGTTAAGAACTGGACCGTCTTATAGGAAAAACATAGCCTGCCCTTCATCATTATCTAAAAAAATAAAATCTTCTTGGGGAGTCTATGGGGGAGGGGAGGGGGGAAACCAGCGCTCTGAACAAGTGCTGATACTGATAAAGAGATAATAAAAAATAGATTATTAATAATCCAAGAGACTTAATGAAGCACATGCCCTGCAGCATAGTCTTTTTCGGGGCATGTGACTAATTCCCCGAAGCATGTGTGCAGTACAGTTTTCAGAAAATATACTAAATGCACTCATTTCTGGAGGCAGATTTCTCAGTGGGGCATGAAAGCAGAAGAATATACGAATATACAAACTTTAATTAACCATCAAAATGTTTGAGCAATAGACATTATATTACATTAGCACTGACGATTAGTTGAGTAATGCGTTTGTCAACAACTATTTTGAAAATCAATTAATTCTCAGCGTTATGGTTGAGATTGCTACTTTTCCCTGCTTCCTTATAAAATGGATATCTTTGGGGTTTGAACTGTTGGTTGGACAAAAAAAGAAATCTGAAAATGTCACCTTGCTCTTAAGGAATCGTGATGATCATTTTTTATTAATTTCTAGCATTTTACAGACTCAACAATTAATCAAGTTAATTAATGAAATTGGCAGATTAATCCATAATCTCCATCCTTTGGTATTATTTATTATTTTTATAGTTCACTTAAAATGTATGTCAGGTCTGATGGATTGGAAACTCTATTCCTGCAACTAAAAAGGTATTTGAACTGTGTTAATACATTTCTGAATAAGAGAGTAAATCTCTGTATTACACACATACAGAAGCCAAGGCACACAGTGTCAAGTATGGATTTGCTATGGCATGTGCTCTTATGGCCATGCGTGGCCCCTGCTGTGCAGATAATGACTGACCCGTGGCCCTTTAACAGGACCATTAGTATCTGACCAACCCTGCCACGTTGATTATGGGACCAACATTTATGCAATAGCCACAGCAGCAGTCAAAAATAGTGAACTCTCTCACACTGAAATCCACACTGGCACTTAAAAGGAAAAAAATACATCAGTGTTAGCATAACAGGACAACTGGGGGAGACTGGCAGAGGGAGAGATGGGAATGGAAACTGCCCAAATACAAGATCAATATCTGCTGTGGAAAGAAGCACAAAATACCGGATACTCAGAGGGGAATACGTTACACCCCAAAACAGATGTGAAGGTCATTCTGTTTTATTTTTCATTCTGAGAAGTTAAAAAATCAAACCAGACACACCCTTGATGTTCCATAACAAGGGAGAGGTTGATGATTATGTATAGAAATTGCTTCAGGGTTTTTTTTTCTTGTTTTCTGCTCTGCTATGCTGTTTTTCCCAATTTCTTACCACAGACTTTTCTATTCACCTCCCTTGTTTCTCTCCGTGACTCTGCACACAAGCCGGAGCTTCACCAGGCGAAGCTATCTGACTCTCATAACCCTTTTAACGCTTACACTCTGGCAGATCACACAACTGAGATTCACAGCTATTTTTATCCACAGACACCCTGCTACAAAAACACTTCTAAAAACATCCTGAATGGAAAGGAATAGATTAGAATATTAAGTTTGAGGCTAGGTTGTTTTCAGTCACAAATAACACTCCCTGATCACTGAAGTAAAATGAACTCACTTCCTAAACTTCCTACTATACACAATGGCTGTGGGCAGGCCGGACAACAAAGCTCTCAATCCCAACTATAGTCTAGAACAATAAATGTGTTCACAATATTAAAGGAAACCCTTACTAAATGTGTACACAATGCTCATTGGCCACAAGGTCACCGTAAGAATTATGATACTGAACCAAGTAACTCAGGACAGGTGAGATATCAAGTTCAGAGGATGAAAAAGAAGGATTTCATTTTATTTTGCCTGTTCACTGTTAATAGTCAACTTATTAAACAACACATACAGTGTTACCAAATGGATCAATCAGCACTGACAGCTCAATGACTGTTGGAATTGATGCTGTTTAAGGTTTCCAGTTTTTCAAAAGAAAACCTGTATAAAACAAGATTTCAGCAAATATAAAAATAGACTGCATTATTTGTATTTATTCACACGAGTGCCTTGTGTCATCATTTGCACTGTAACTGTGTAAATGGACAAATATGGAGAGTCTGCAGTCTAGCTAGGACATTGCTGCTGCTTCCTCTCTGTCCTGTGACACTGACACAGTTTTAGAAAATGCAACCGCCTGTAGAGCCAACCAGCCTGCTGGCTGCCACATTTACAGAGAGGACAGGAAGGAGGCGGAAAAAGGCAAAGTGAAAGAGAGAAAGGAAAGGAGCAAAGCCGGACTGGATGGTATTATCTGCACATTCTATGGCTCCAATCCAAAAAATTTGAATTATTACAGATGAGGGACGAGGAGGAGGAGACTAACAAGACCCGCCGATGTGCAGCCTATAGTTCTCCAGCTTTCCAAGAACACAAGCCCAGTATGTGAACAGCAGACTGTATTATAAACCCAGGCAGTCTTAACTGTTAGATGCAATTAGACACAATTAGGGGAAATGATCAAGGTCAAACAATCAAACTGCTGCTGCTGCTATGACTATAAGTCTCTGTTTCAAATCTTTTGAACAGTTGTGTAACTTTAGTATCTGTCATGCATCTGCTTCTAGCATTTGGACTAAATCCGTCATTCATCCAAAACAGTCTGTTACCTGATAATTAAACAATAATTATAAAATGTGAAATTTTGCATAGATTTGTTTGTAAGAGGCATGCAAATAAGGCATCCTAAAGATATTCGTCCATGCATGATGAGACACAGCAGTATTAAAGATACTGTACGGCAGTAATAACACATATTTTGCCACTTCCAAGAGTTTTACATCTTATGTGATGATGACAGCAAAAAATCTAACTCAACACAAAGAGAGCGGATGCATGTAGGCCAGCTACATCTGCCCCACGAAAACAAAGCCTCTACACAGAAGATGAGGAGGGGGTCCGACATCGGGAGACACTCCGCAGTCACATTACACTTTGAAATACCTACTCACACGATCGACCCTTCTAATAGTAAAAATAGACTCAAAGAGGACCCCGAGATTAGCGTGTTTCCAATGAGATAAACACAAAGCGTCCATTGTGACCGACCTTCATTGATGTGCATCCTGTCTCGGTAGCCTCCGTGCGGTTACTGAAGGATGCAACTAGCTAATAGGAAGAAGAAAAAAAACATCTAATATAAAATAATAATAGCACAGGGCGCATTATGTGCCCGGTGTTTTTAACAGAGGCAGTGGCGAGGCTGTGTCGCTATACAAAGGCGGAGCAGGGCAGGCTGGTCATGCTGCTCCCGACACCAATAGCCAACACAGTCACACCAGTTTGTTGAGCCGCTATAAGCATAATACAATATCTACTCTACTGCTTGGAAAACTGTGCATCAGTTTGAATCCAGCTTTCATTGTTTTAACGCGACAAGCTCCAAAATCTGCCGTGCCACCTCACAGAATTTGTACATCAACACTGAAACCCCCCACACTGACATCAGTAGATGGGCAGCAGAAAAGCAGAAAACCGACTCTTTCCATTTTGTTTTCCCTGCCGCAAACTTCACGTGAGACTAACGGTCGACTACCTAGCTAAAAGCCTAATGTTGGACAGTCTGGATATTCTACTGTTGGCTAAATAAAAGTGAAAACAACTCCTCACTTACCCTTTTTCCTTTCTAGTGTGTGTTGCTGTTGAAGGTGTGTGTGTGTGTGTGTGTGTGTGTGTGTGTGTGGAGCCCAGCCCTGCCGTTGCTGCATTTCAGTCTGGCTCTGCGCGTCGGCCTTCTCCCCCTCCGTTGCTCAGCAATAACGGCGAGCGGACCAACGTCCTGAGAGACGCGTCAAGGCGACGCAAAAGTAAATCACGACTTCCGGTTAGACTTCCAAAATAAAACCACAGCAGAGCGTTGAGCGTACATTTAAGCAGAGATTTGCGTGTGAGTGGTGTGTCCCTAAGCTTAAAGGAACACACTGTGTATCTAGGCAACCATATGCACAATTAAGCATGTGACCAAGTTCAACTTCATTAAATCTGTGGGGAGAGATGAGCACCTGCACAACAGTGACATAAGTCAGGACAAACAACATCATTACACGTAATTATTGTTTCTTGTATGGTCTATATACAGAGATCATTTTAAATTAATCAATTTAACTATAAAATTATAAAAATGTAAATGTTCAGGGTTTAGCTGAGGAGCTATTGCACCCCTGGTCCCAACACAACTGAACATATAATATAGATGACAATCTAACATATTAAAACCGCAGTAAGTAAGTTTTATGAAAATAACTTTTTGTCAGATTTGCTGAACCTTTCACTATCTCCTGACAGTAGTACATGAGACAGATCATCTGTGAAAAAATCAGGTTCCTCTGGCTCCTCCTAGTGCTCCTAATGGCATTTGCAAGAATCCACCAGGCATTGATGAAAACAACAGGTTGGAGCCAAGATAGATAGATGCTTTGAGTTTTAGGCTTAAAGATAGTTGGTTGGTGAGTCTCGTTCCCAGGTCATCAAATACCAATACTCAACAATCATCTATGTTTCTTGGTTTTGATTGGTTGTTTTTATTCAGCCACGATGGATTCTTGCAAATACTATTAGGAACATAAAGAGTTATTTTTATAAAGGTTACCTACTGCAGCTTTATTAATAAAACAATTTATTTAAAAAAAAAAATCCAAAATTAGACCTGATGCTTGTAGCGAAGATGAAAATAATCAGCACCTTAAAATTTGATCATAATGAAGATGTATGTTTTAATTATTGTATCTTTAGTGAAACATACATTTTAGGGTTTGTAATGTGGACCACAGTTGTATGTGATGACCACTTGTCATATAAACAAATAGTGTTTATATAGCTTTTTAAATATATTTCTTTTATATGTTTATATTTCTATTTTTAAAAATCTGCCATAGATATATTTTGAAATCAATACATATGATGTTTGCCATAAAACACAAAATGCAAAAACTGAGTAATGTTACCCTACATACATTACATAAATGTACGTTTTCATAAAAGTACAGTTATATAATCCAAAATGTCTTTGTCACAATTAATTCTAAACATGTTTGTTGAGTTTGATTTCTTCATAGGAAAATCTATACTATGAATCGCAAAAAAAAGGAAGGTCAGGGTAGATTTCCACTGAAGCAATCTACACAAATTGAGGCTAAACGTAACCATATGGTTTTTAATAACATGGCCATGTTGACTGGCTAATAATAAATCAGTTGCAGCTGCCATGGTATTTCCTAATGTTATGATAATTGTACAGGATGATATCCAACCTACAGAAATATACAGACAGCTTATGACATGGGAGATGCAAATAAAATGCCCTACAGATGGTAAAGTACCTGACATCACTCTGCACAGTCTGAATCAGAGGATTACATATACGCAGCTCATCTCATTTTAATGCTCAAAAATCTAGCTTTTAATTTGGAAAGCGGACATCGTAATTTCCGGAGCTTTCAGTTTTGTCTCTGGATAACTTGACACGGTTCATTCTCAGCAACGCCTGCGTCTACACTTCCAGCTATGGACGCTTCCAACTCGACCGGGAGCCCATGTTACCCAGAACCGGGTGGGCGGGTTTCCTGGACTCCTCGGTCACGTTTCAGGGTCCTTCATTACTGTACCATCAGCTGGGCTGCGCAGCTGGATGTACTATAAGTATAAGTCTCATGCTGTAAATAAAGGCAGTGCTGCTGCATGATGCGCAGCTCTAATGGACGAGGATTCCCGGGAATAAAACAACTAAAGAAACGATCAAATTAAACGAGGCTGTTGTAATACAAGAACATAATAGCGGTACCGTTGTTATACCGCTTATTCTGCATTTTGGATAGGGAACATCACTTTTTAAATTATATACAATTTCAGATATTTTAAATAGCTTAAAGATAATATACCGTTGTAGTAGATTAAATGTTTTGTTGCATCCAAAAAAGCCAAACATTACTGAGAAATTTGTACCATGTTGCAAAAGTGACAGATAAACGTCTTTTATGCCACCAACGATTAATAATTAATTAATTTTGAATATTTTTTTTACCATGTAAAATATTCAAATCGAGAACGGTGCATTCCGTAATTTGTCTGGCACCATGACGCAATGACGCTCCCTCCTCGCCGGCGTGAAGCACTCGGTTTAAATGTTTGGAAGTACCGGCTAGCAAGGCGGGGCGTTTGTTTGATATTTATTTTCGAACTGTACACCAGACACTGTGCAGTTTTCTAACACATTGTGAGTTTAACTATTGTAGGCTATTTTACCACGGTTGGCTTTTGATTCAGCAGTCACCTTTTTGTCTGTTTTACTTATTGGAATTTAAAATCAGTTAAATGTGAGATTCAGTATTTTCAGCATCATGGGTAACATGCAACCGGATTCTTCTTTTGTATTGCATTTTAACTTCCCTAAATAGTTTGTTTGTTTTAAAGATGTAATTGATATTTTGAATTGAGTTACTTGTGTATTCACTCTACATGATCGTAATTGCGGCAGATGACGTGAAACAAATCAAACCTCCCTGTCCGTTGGAGGGGCGTTAGACGTTGGAGGAGGGAATGTGCTGCTCGTGCCGTTGGCAGCGAATGGACAGACAATATGGACGACCCGCGGGATGTTCAAACTTCTAAACGAAACGGGAGCTACAGGTCGTTATTGTCGGCCGGTTCCGCGGTGGCGATGGAGATTAAACGGAAGAAAATACGGCAGAGTGCCGTGTTCCTGCAAACAGAGGTATGGGCAAGGAGGGTTGTCTTCTGTGTTTTACCGTAAACGGTGAAGCCTAATGACAGTTCGGTTGACGCCAGAGGGGGTTCAAAGTGCAGCACTACTAACGTCAACGTCAACGAGCTAACGTTAACAAACGGCTCTTTTTAGTTTAACACTGCACTTCAAGTAACTTATTCGAGGGGTTTTGCTTAAATACATTTAATGACTTGACTTTCACACGCCAACATACACTGGCTTTCACTTCCCTGGGACAAAGCGAGCTAGTTGTTGGGCCAGTAATCCAATACGGGAGTCGCCTCTTTTCACGTTATTCACTTCCCTGAAACCAGAGCCGTTGCATTGTCGAATGTTGAATGTTGCTAGGCATGCGCAGAAGTAATGCTCTTCTCTTTGCTGAACAACGCTCAAACTAATGTCATTTCAGACCAGAAGCATGAAACGATGTCCAAGTCTTCTGAATGACACTCTGCAGATAGTAGAGGATATGAATTTGTTGTACATACGACAGATTTCTAAGAAGCTACAGGTGCATCATTTTAGTTTGTAATAGCCTATGGAGAACGATGGTGTTTGTATCTCTAAAACAATTCTGCATGTACCTTAACTTAACATGGTAATTTCTAACCCACCATGTACACATTTCCATGGAAATGTGTTTGAATTTAGTATGTCCAAATTATAGTAGACATCATCATACTCCATTTAGTTTCCACAAATATGTTTAACTAACCTGATCCATTTTTTTCCTGCCACTATTCACTTGAGTGCATGCCATCAATGCATTTCCATACTGCATCTTCATTATCAAAACTGTATGTGATCTAGTCATGTAGTCACTGTTATAGTCGTCCCTTGTAGCATACAGTTTGTTTGTCATTATTTTGCACCATTTCACCTCACCGTCTGCCACAAAAAGTTGCTCTTGAGTGAAAAAAAAAGTTGGCTTCACTGCCACAAGCCATTTGTATTATCAGTATATCGTTGTCAAATTCATTGTGAAGATCATAATTCCTGATAGCTTTATATCCGGTTAATATTCGGTTGTCTGTCATTTGCAAGGACTTCTGAAAGCTTTAAACGGTGCCTTTTTATTTTGTGCTACAAATCAATCTTCCATCTTTGCCAAAAAACAACTCAGATTCAGAAGCAGTCAAGGTAAAGTGCACTATAGAGGGAGGAGGAGGTTGCAGGTCAACTGTGTTCTTGTTTATGTTTGACATTTACCTTATTTATGTGTTGCTTGTTGACTGGAAGTCACCAAAGTGCTGCAACACCTTTTAAAACTGGAAGGGATTTTTGTTTTTGCCAAAAACAACATTCAAGGGCAACGTCACTCTAACTCCACTCTAGCAAAATTTAACAGACTAACACAACTCAACACATCTTTGCTGATGGTCTGTGTTTTGATGTGCATTCATCTGGTTATTTTTAACTTTCTCCTTTGTATCTCCTGTCCAAGAACACAAACATACAAGAAAAACTTGACTTTGAGATGCGAATGCGGGACGGTGCCTACAAGCTGCTGCTCGCCTGCAGTAAGAGAGAACAGGTTCTTAACGCCTCCAAGAACCTGCTGACCTGCAACGCCAGGATCAAGGCTTATCTCACACTGCTGCAGAAGAAGAAAGAGGAGCAGGACATGATGGGAAGAGTCTGGAGGTAAGGAATTGGTGTTATTGTTGTGAATCTGATGTATTGATACACAATGTGATTAATTAATATAAATATATGTCAGACTTTCAGATCCAGTTTCAGATGACCGTGTGCCCTGTAATGGTACAATTGCTATGTCTGGTAAGATTCCTCCCCCTTTAAGACTTATACACACGTTTAAAAAATTCTGTACAGCACAAAATTAGGCCAGGTTTGTTTACTTTGTTAATAAACGTTTCTCCGCTGATGCAGGGCTGCGCATTCCTTTGATGTGGAGGGATTCTGACCACTTTAACAACAGAGGGAGTAAGTTTGGGCTTGTTTTGCTAACATTCATGCCTTCTGTTTAGCTATGCCTCATGTTATTTTATGGATACTTGCCGTACTAACACATACTCTGCATCTGTTTATTAGCCTCTCGTCGAGTGGCCGTGTTCTGTCTGATGCAGATTGGCTCAGAGGTGTTTGACACACAGATGGTGGTGGTGGACAGATCAGTCACTGACGTCTGCTTTGAGGGAGTCACCATCTTGTACGTATTTTTTTGGTGTTGCTGTCCAATGGTGGAAAAGAATTTCTGCATTATGGAGTTATATTAAGAGTGTCACTGGAAACATGTTATTTATTTTATAATATGTATAGCAAAATATGTATTTGATTTTTTTTTTCTACAAACACTGACACATCTTGTTAGGGATTTTACTGGTCACAATTTCTGTGCAGTAAAATGTATCATGAACCCTTAGTGTTTTGTGTTTAGTTGTTTTTTAGTCTCGATCTAACATGGTTTATATACATTTTAATGTTAATACTCTAATTGAAATCCCTCTGTCCTCTCTCATAGTAAAGAAGCAGTTCCTCAGTTTGAGCTGAAGGTGGAGCTGTGGAGCTGTGCCCTGGAGGAAGAGCACACGATGGTAAACACGCCAAAGAAACTGGCCAAGAAGCTCCGCAACTCCTTTGGAAAGACTGCTGGGAAGAAGCTCTGCCCTCTGCTGGACTCCTCAGACCCTGACACCTTCCTGCAGCACAACCCCATACCCTCGTATGTATTGTGTTATCCCGTAAAAACCCTTTACAGACTCTTGGCTCTCTATTTAAGGTTTTTGCAGATGGGAACTAACTCGATTATGGCTTGTTACTGGAACAAAGGGTGTAGCTGCAGGCTCACACAGCGGGTTTATAAACAAATCACACAGTGAATATTGAAATAAGGGTTAAACCAATATTTGGGGTTATAAATACTGTTTAGCCTTTGGATTTTCATAGATTTTTTTTTCTGCCAATAAATTCAGCAATTTTATTTTTTTTTTAAAGTGCATGCTTTTAATGTTCCTGTCTTTATTTTATTTGTCTCTGAGAGGAAAAGTGTACTTAACAGCTTTTAGAACATCTAGTGAAACTCAACTTAACATCTGTAAGTGATACATCCCACCTGTTCAGTGCGAGGGGAAACATCGAGATCATTCGGCCTTTGAAGGACATAATTTACAAAAAATAAAATACTGTAGGGTATGTACACATGTTGGTGTTAGTCTTTATATATTGATTTATCTTTATTATTTATTTTTAGGGTTAGAGTTGAGCATGAATCTTTTATTTAAAGCCCAGGAAGCCAAGGAATGAAAGGAAATCAATGCGGTATACTTAAAGAATGCTTGTGTGTGTGTGTGTGTGTGTGTGTGTGTGTGTGTGTGTGTGTGTGTGTGTGTGTGTGTGTGTGTCTACCTGTACCAGTGGAGCCAAGTTCAACCTGCTGGCCTACACTACACTGCATCTACCTGAGGCTGAAGGCAGCTTTCAGTCTCACTCCCTCATTGTCCTCCAAGATGGTAAGAAACAAAGGCACAGAAATGTAATATCCGGGGATATAAAGGGATTATGCTTTTTAGCTCCTCATTTGATTCAGTGCTGTGGTAATGATGAAATATTTTTGCTAAAATTAAACACAAACTGTGATTGAAGTTCAACTTGGATTACTTTTCTTCCTTTGCGTGAGTGATTAAATGGATAAAAAAGTGGGTGCTCAGGCAGGGTTTTGTTATCCAGCTGTAATTCCAGGGGTAAATGTTTGGTATGAGTTTTCTTCTTACTGAGTACCTTGATCCTTAGACATTAGCATGTCTATAAGCCCTGTCTGTGCATGACTGTATTTCGGGCCTGGTGTAAAAAAAAAAAAAAAAATGGGTGAAAAAAAAAATTTACCGTCGGGGATTAATAAACTTTATCATCTTCTTCTTTACATAAACTATATAGTAGTTTATGAAGATTATGGTATGTAAATCTCTTGTCTTTTTTTTTTTGGTTTTTTTTTGCCACTGCTGTTCTTCATCCCCTCAGCTGAGTGGTCCTCTTGGCTTCCACTTTACGGCAACGTCTGCTGCCGGTTGGTGGCCCAGCCTACGTGCATGACACAGAGCATGATGACCGGCTACCTAAGCCAGAAGGTGTGTTGACTGCTGTTAATTGGCATTAGCATCATAGCTGGTTCCTGGGTTAAATACTTACTTTTTCTTTTTCTTTTTTTCGGTAATTCAGCAAAGTGTGGAAGGGATGTACCGCTGCTGCAGTCTTTACTGTGTGCTGAGCGCTGGCTTTTTGTCCTGTTACTTCACTCCAGAAGAAATTGATGCTAAAGTGCAGCCCACTCTCAATGTTCCCATCAACAAGGTAAGAAAGAATCCAAACCTTCACATTCAACTCTCTTATTTGCATTTCATGCTCACTTGTTCTGTTGAGCTTGGCACTTCAATAGGTGCAACGTGATAAAACAAACAGAACTGGAAGAAGTTACTGTGATGTTTCTGTACATTCTCTGAAAATGGATGTGTTAGATAAATGAATCTAAAGGCAGAGAAGTACAAATGTTAACACCAGAAATAGCTATTGTTATCCTTTTATCACTGTTATTACTGTCACTACATCATCGACTCTGTTTTAATTGTGCTGTCTGATTAGTAGAATTTTGAACTGAATATAAATATCACATTCATTATTATTGATTTAGATCTCATTTCATAGTTTCCCCTAACATTTGCAGAATAACCAAAATACAAAATGCCACATTACTCACTGAGATCCTGCTTGCATCTTTGGCATTTTGCTGCTGAATTAATTATTTTCTGCAATATCAGCTATGTACTTTTTAGTGCAATATCTCACATTTGTATTCTGTGGAACTCATTTTCAGCTTATAAGTTATTGGTGGTTTTTCTGCAGGACACCCGGATCCGTGTGATGGAGAAGGAGTCAGCAGGCCAAAAATCCAGGAGTCTGTCTATCATAAACCCTTCACCGGAGGGATCTCAGACCATCGTCTTCACCACAGAAACTGGGGATGAGCTGGAGGACTGGTTAGACACCCTCCACCAGCACCTCTATGATCAGAGTGAGTGTGTTTTTGTGAAAATATACAGCAGAAGGTTGTGTATGTATATAAAAGCTATAGGTTACATACAGTACATGTGTGTATGGAGCAAGAACATGGATGTTTCTTGAAAAGGTCTTGTGTGTTTAAGAATACATAAAGAGTCAGTCAGTTTTGGCAAGAAACGTGAACATATATTTAGTTAAACTCCTTTTGGAAAGAACAGATAGTGTAACCTTTTATCTGTGCCTCTCATGCCTCTCCTTGTTTACAACCAGGCCAGTGGCTGCAGTGTTGCAACCAGCTAATGAAGATCGAGGTCGCGTCACCACGGAAACCATCACTCTTCCTCACCAAGCAGGCTGACTCTGTTTACAATGACCTCAGTGAGTAGAGTAATTGGAACGAGTGGCTGAAGTGAGTTAGACGGAGCTGATAATGTGCTGACTGTTTGATGTCAGATGTTTTACAGGATTTGTATTTGTGTGCATCTATTTATAGAGAATATGGTGCAAGTGCTCAGAACGAATGTAACACCTCAGTGAAATAAATATATTCAATTGACCACACATAATAGTTTTCATTTCAGTGGTAAACCCTTCACATACAAATTAGAATATTGCAATGTTAGTTTTAAGTTTAATTAGAAAATTTGAAGATATTGGTTATGGGTTGTTTGTTAAATATTATTTTTCTACATCTCACTAATACATCATCATCATCATCAATAAACACAAACATTGGCCTAATCTATTTCACTTTATTTCAATCTTTGTTTATTTTGTTGACCCGCAGGTATAAATTCACCTGGCAAGTTTGAGAGCATCACAGACATCATCCACAACAAGATAGAGGAGACGGATGGCCGCTTTCTTATTGGTCATGAAGAGGAAAAAGAAGCGGCTAACTGGTCCAGTCTGTTTGATGGGTCCCATTTAGTGGTAGTGCAGAAGAATATTCTGTCCCAGAGCAAAACCTCTACCCCTTGTCCAAGCCCCAACCATAATACCAGCTCTACATCCATCAACAAGAAGCGCCGTGCCCCGCCCCCACCCTCTGACAGAGAGCCTTACGCTCCTCCCGCTCGTCCGGCCAGACCTCCCCTTCCTGCTTCTCTTCATCCTCCTCCTCCTCCTCCTCCCCCCCCCATACCAGGAGAAGGAGAACTCTGGCACTTGCACTTCACGCCCGACCACAAGGTCCAAGACCGGCAGACCATCTCTGGATGCCAAATTCTCTGCCATCATCCAGCAGCTCCAGCGAAACAACACTCCAGGAGCCGGAGCCCTCAGCCGTAAGAACGCCCCCCTGGGCGTCCTCGACGTACAACCACAAAGTCAGCCTCAGGCCCCTCTCCAGCAGCTGGAATACCAGAACCACCACATCCACAACACTGAAGCCACAGGTGAACATGGTTTCCTCAGACCAAGTCACGGTCCTGGTCCTGTTCCTGTTCCTGCACCGAGGAGCAAACTGAGAAAGTCTTTCAGAGAGAGGATGAACTTTAAAGCCTTGTGACTTCGACTTTCAACATTATCCAGATTTAACTAACTCCACCTGACCACTAAAACAAACAACTCTAACAACACTTAAAACTTCAACTGAGCTGGGGAACATGGATAAAAAAAAAAATCACATATCAGATATCACAATATATTTGACTGTACCTCAATAGCGATAATGTGATGATACTTTGGGTATGACTGACTGCACTAAGGACTGTAGTAATTAGTAATATGATACAAGGAAAAGATAAATGCCACTTTCCAATCTGTACCCTAGATAGAAGCCTGGAACTTGGAAATGGTTAGCTTAGATTAGCATAGAGATTGGAAACAGGGAAGCAGCTAGCCTGGCTCTGTCCTATTGTAACAAAATCTGCCTACCAGCACCTCTAAAGCTTGCTAAGAAGTCACTGCTCCCAGCCAAAAAGGGAGGCACATAACCCCATGTAAAACTGCAATTAGTTTAGTTACACTTTGTTTTTTGTATGGATTAAATAATCAAGATGTTAATTAGTGAGCTTTCGAGGTGCTGATAGGCAGATTTTGTTGCCTGTGGACAACCAGGCTAGCTGTTTCCCCCTTGCTATCAGTCTTTATGCTAGGTTAAGCTAACCATCTCCTGGCTCAGGTTTCATATTGAGCTGATTGATTAGAAAGTGGTATCGATCTTCTTATTGTATTTCCCAAAATGTCGAAACTTAACCTAAAGAATGGGTGGTTGACGTGGTCTCTTAAAAAAAAAAAGATCCTCACAATGTCCATCACTACAACCCAAATCCCAGCTGACACCTCACATCACAATATCAATACTGTATTGATACGTCTCCAGCTCCACTCTCCATTTATAAACTTTTTTTTCATGTGCAGCTAACCCATAGATGAAATTGAAAGCTGTATGTTGGCTTGAGCACCGCCATCATCAATCCCACTAAAACGGAAAGGCTTATTTCTCAGCTCTGCCACTGGAACATGGGCCGAAGAAAGAGCCTTTGCAAAAGCACTCAAATTGGAATTGATCCATTGGCCGACTGTGGACGAGTCATTCCTTTTGGAACTATTGACTTATTCCACTCACTGTGACAATTTTATGACCACTATAGCTGATTTTAAGGGAACAGGATTTTAGGAGCAATTGCAAGCACTAATGTGACTTCTCCATTTCCCAGAGGTCTTAATAATGGAGTGACCTTGGTTTTCAGTGGCTACACAGTATGTCCAACATAATTTAACACTGCAGCCCATAAATGCTCTGAACATAATTGAATGAATGAGTCTTTTGAGTGGCTAAAATAATGAATGCCCTTGTTTTTGTGTTTTGAACATATCCAATACTGCCAGCCACTAAATATTTCAACCACTTAACAGTCACGTGTTGAATGGTCTTCATAATTACACAGAGTGTACAAAACATGGGGTTGAGCTACTTTCTCTGAAATTACCTGGGCAGAAAGCTACAAGCCCTTTTTTTTCCTTTTTTTTTTTATCCCACCCTCTAAATTCTGTTTAATCAAGAAGGAGAGATGTAGATTTGGAGGGAGGCGGATTACAGGAGGATTTAGTTTTAAGCCTTGAAAGAACCGAGAATGGTTTGTACAAAAGGGGATGCTGCTCAATATTAGTAGAGTGTTCGAAATGTTTTCTATCCTCTGTGTGTGTATCACCAACACATTAGGGACTATGATGTTGTACTGTATATACCTGGAAAAACAAGGCAGTACTCTAGGGTCAACCCTCATAGCATTAGTTTTTACTGATGCTAATGTGGTTACACATTGGGCTGTATGATATCATCACAGTAATTATATTGCACTTCCTACATCCCCCACTACTTTCAGTTAGACTAAGCATGCTAGAGACAAAGAACATTCAATTACATGTAAATATTACTGGCAGTCTGTGAACGCTAACATTTCTGTGTAGTATTTCCGGTTAACCGTGTAGCTGGTGAAAGCCGTTTCATGTAACCAGTATAGTCAAATGTTTCCCCTGTGGATATTAAGCTTGAGGAAGAGCATGTGATCTAAATGAAACTAACTGCTTTATGACTAAACAAGGGCGGAACATTATCACTTTGATCAGAGCCAAACTAATGAGCCAAATTTATATTCATTAGAGATATATGTACTTGTCTTTTATCTTTGTCTTTTCATTTGTTAATTACACATGACAGCAATAACAGTAACAGCAATAATTATTTATTTCTTTTATTAAAATGTTCTGTGATTTCTTTTGATAGTGTAATACGGTTATATCATCTCAATGTTACTTCTAGCACATACATTATTTAGACTAAGTGGCACTGTGTTTATGTAGTAGTGAGTAGGAATACAGTAATTTTGTCTTTAGTACAGTGTAAAAAATATTGTTTTTGTTTCTCAAAAAGTGCAATTTTCTCCTCACTCTCTGTTCACTGTTGTCTTGGAAGCTAACTGTATTTTTTATTATTGCTGATCTGCAATAAAACGGCCTACATTCTACCCTGGTGAGGCTGCTTTATTTTTGCTGAGCTTGGAAGTATTACTGAATATTTTTCATGGTAAAGGTTTACCAGGGGGTGGCAATAAAAGTCAAAGCATAGCTTTTATTGCAGCCCAACACACATCCCATAGAGATACACGCACAGGCACATTTCTCTACTGCAGCAAATACTGGAGAGGTTTCTCTGGCTTTGAGCCCAGACGTAGCCTGTTGTGAAGATTAAGGCGGATGGAATCTCATAGCCAGATAATGGTATTACAATAATAAAACCCCATTCACACTGCATTTACTCAGGAAAAAAAAACAGCTACGTGACGTTAGTACACTGGCATTAAATATCAGTTTATTCAGCCATAGCTATTTATCTGCAGCTGGGTTAAAGAACACAAGTGAGGAAACATGTATAGATAGTAAAATATTTTAATTAAATATACAGGAGGTCATATACAAAATGTCTTTATTTTTTGTCTTGCTTGCCAGCTGGGTGATTGGTAAACAGATGGCTACTGTATCAAAAACACTTTCAGGATGCACATTAATGGAAACAACGTGGAAAAAAAGTGAAACGACAACAAATAAAGAGTATCCTAATTCTTAAATTGTAGTGTTTGTTTAAATCTAACATGATCACGGTGACCTTGAAACAGAGCAAACAAGGACACAGCTAGATTGTGTAACCGACTTATACTGTTTTTATACTATTTACAGATTATAACAGTTTATATGATAACAACCACGCGGTACTATCTACAGTGCTATTTACACAGAAAATAAGACGAGAGAAGGGGTTGTCATGAATTGATCCCATATGACTGTTCTGTACAGGAGCCAGCACTAATGCCAGTATTACCTACACACAGAAATGTACAGTACTTAATCAGAAATGAATGTCTTTATCTAAGTATTCAGTAAAACTTTACACATAGACATTTACAGCTTCTTTTTTTTCATCTTTTGAAACACCAGACATGTTGACTGTGTATTTCGACTATCCTGGATTGCAATTATAGTGGTTGTAAAAGCCAGAGCAGGTGTTGTCTTTCCACCTCAGGCTATGGAGCATGGTAGGCATACTTTATGGCGTCTGGTACCTTTTCATCACTGCTAGAAAACACATAGAGCACATATGCCCTGCGGATGACAGACACCAGACTTGTGTCAATATTAACTATCAGTAAATCTTTTCAGGTTCTTCTATAATCAACTGCCTGACACAGTCAAGCTAAAGTAAATAGATTTATTTAAGCACAAATACTAACCATAAGGCTAAAGCATAACTGTTTAAATTTTTAAAACTTTACATTTTTTGTGCCTTACCTACCAAGTCTGGTGTCTGATAACCAAGTGTGCCATAGCGTTTCTGTATGAGTGTCTGTGCGCTGCATTTCAGACAAGAGTGACAGTAATATTGATATTCCTACCCTGCTACAGAAGATAAACCTTAACAACTGTAGTGCTAACTCTAATCCAAGACTGCGAAAGGCACAGATATTTGCAAAGCAATAATATCCTAAGTGACAACATTCCTATCAAATCATACAGTGAGTCTTTTCAGCGTGTTGAATAAAAGAGTCTGTTCACCAAAAAAGAGCTTTTCAAGTCAAGAACAAAAAGATGAAATGCTGATTTCTTGTGGTGAGCATTCCACAGCAGACGGCTGCTTCATTATGCTGGTCCTACAGACAAAAACAAGCTGCTACAGTCTACTCATCACAAAGGGTTTGGGGGTCAAATTACTTTCCATTTAGAAAGTAAAAATTAAAAACGGCTTTTCATTAACTCTCACAAAAAAACATTCATGATTTGTCAACAGATTGAACATGACAACTGCTTGTGTTGTATGATCTGAACTGAAATACAATTTAACAAATAAAAACCTGAACGGAGTAAAAATGTGAATCTACAGTACATCTGTTACACACAGCACCTCTGAATGTTATGATGAAGCTATTTCATGTTATGCAGCACCGCGGTGAGTGTTGATGTTCAGGTGGATTTACTGTGGCACAAACACGCAGCAGCTTTCAGCGTGGAGACATGTAAACAGATGCAACGCCACTGGCTGCCTAAAGTGTAATAATGCGCTTAACAGCTGTTGAACATTGTTTGCGATGGTGAACGCATCATTTAGTTATATAAAGAATTTCATTTACGTCGTCATGTTACTTAGTGTTTTTAAGCAAAAAAGTTTAGCCCTCAGACGCAGTAAACAAATGGCTTTTCTCTGTTGCCCTCCACTTTTCACACATCCAGAGCAACAACCTGACTCATGGTGACTGAGAGCGGCAAACTGATTTGTGAGCACATACACATGAGCATTGTGCAAATAAGGATACAACAACAACAACACAAATACAGTAAGTGGTGATAAAAATAAGGAACAGTGCAACGTATATATAAACAAATGCATACACACATAAAAAAAGAAAATGGAATTTTCACTCTGTCTGACTGATGAGTTTATCAGTCTGTAATCAGCCAAAGTTTCATAATCAGTGTTTTCTTTCGACCGAGTCACAATCCCAGAGCAAGAGAGAAAGATAAAGAGAAGCTGAAAAAAGTTTCTAAGGATGAAGAAGTAGAGGGAGAAATAAATCGTCCTCTCTCCCTCACAGTCTGGTGCTGGGGTGTACCGAGGACAGCTGAGGTGGTGGGAGCGTGGAGAGAGGGTACAGGTGGTGCAGCAGGTCCCCGTACAGTGCTGCCCCTCCCGGGTGTCTGTAGAAGTGGTGTGGGCTGGGGCTGGAGGCCAGCAGCTGCCTGTGGAGCATCATGGAGTGGAAGGCTAAGGGGGGCACGAGGGGAGAGACCGCTGACTGGCTCTTCAGGTACTGTAGACCTGGGTGCTGCTGGAGCCCGTCCTGGGCTCCTGGTGAGACCAGGCTGCCAGGCGCATACATGCCAGGGTAGAAGGATGCAGCGTGGTGTGAAGGGTAGGTAGTCGTTGGGTGGCCCTCAGGGAGATGGTTGTTGAGGTGAATGGCATGGGCTGGCTCAGCTGGTTTTAGTTCTTCTGGGTCGCTGCGTCGGATTGCACCAGCAGGGTGGATTGGCGTCACCACACGGACTTTCCTCTCTGGGACTTCCTCACCCGCTGGTTCCACTAAGCTCCGCTTACTGGGTCGAATGGGGCTCGTGAGGGACGAATCACTTGAAGCTTTTGGGCTGGGAAATGACTGCGATGACTCTGTTGGGGTCTGTTTGGGGGGAGAGATAGTCATAGGAGGAACTCGGCACGCCTTAGGATGGGAATCCAAACCCTGGTGCAAGATGGGATATGGGAGACTGCAGAAGGAGGGCTTGGAGAAGGAGGACACCCTCTGAGAGAGAGGTTTAGAGATTGTGAAGTCTCTGGGCTCATCTTCTGCCTCCCTCCTCTCTCCGTGTGTTTGAGTCCTGTCACTGTAGTGAGATCTGTAGGCTAAGCCCTCTTGCTCCAGGCTGCCACAGACAAAACTCTGGCTGCCTTCACGGTCCCTGGTGTAGTGCTCTCTCCGCTCTCCGTTGGGGAAACCGGCCATCCTCTCCTGGTTCAAGCAGCTCTCAGTTTGCCTGTACAGACTGTGGAGGTGAGGGGACGAGTAGCAGTCACCCGGGTAGCTCCGGGGCTGAGCACCTGGGCCGTGGAGTAGCGACTCCCCGGCGTTCTCCACACCATCCTGGGCATGGGTTCGGGGGAGATAGGGCTGCCATGGCGGGTTGACTTGAGCCTGGAGGTGATGGCTCATCCGGCAGCTGTAGGACTCTGAAAGCTCCCCGGCAGGGCTCCTCTCTGATGGGCCACTGGTGGCTTGTTGATGAGGCTTGCTGCTCTGGGCATGCTGAATGACTGATGGCCTGAATATGGGGGCTACCTCTGGTATGTTGTCCGAAGGTCCGTGCCTTTGTCCAGCCACCTCCTCCTCACCCTTTCTCTTCTCCTTCTCCCTTTCAGCCATTGATATGACATGGAGAGAGGAAGTAGCTGTAGGAGGTGGAGGCTGAATAGAAGTAGAAGTAAAGGAGAAAGGGTTTGACTCACACACTTGAGAGAGGAGCTTCTTTTTGGCTAAAGGAGACATGACCCCTTGGCTGGCCTTGCAGTAGGGAGCCGTCTGTGCAGGGCCCTGGGTAGACTCCTTCTTAATGACCCCATAGTCTTCTTTCTCTGGGAAGGAATCTGTGCTCAAGTCTATACACTGTCTGTCTTCCTGCTTACACATTGGTAACACCTTCCCCACTCTCCCACCATGACTTTCTATGGAGTTTTTGACCCTGGTTGAGGGCTCAGGCAGAGCAACATGTCCAGCAAGTTTGTTCTGGTCCCAACGATGAGGCAGGTAGGGGTTTTTAGGAATGAAATGCCCTTCAGTTTGCTGTTCACAGGAGAGTTTTGCTCGGAGGGCCTCGCTGATTGGCCTCCATTCAGGCTGGGGACCGGGCCCTGTGTGGAGGGGAAGACCAGCTTGTGGGGCTCTGCAGTCTGGTTCTTTGGGGCAGAGTGACAATGGCTGCTCCCCTGCCAAGGACTCCTCTTTCTTAAGGGTAAGATGTAACTCTTCTTCCTCTATTACAATTGGTTCATCTCTCAGAGATATCTCCTGTTTAATGGCTGTGGACAGCTCATGATTCTCCTCTTTCTCCTTGGAGTCCTGCATGCAGAAACATGATAGTTCGTTCTCAAAGTAAAATAAATAAGACACTCCTCTATTTTCTTATTACTTGGCAATTTCAAAAGACAACAGGAATTCAAGACAGCCAGTGAGGCATTGATGACAAAGCACAGGGAGATTAAAATTAAATTGAATTCAAAGCAAGAAGGAATCCTGATGAGGCAGCAGTTGTGACTGACCTGTGATTGTTCTTGGCCTTTCACTGTCTCCCCTCTGTCCTTTTTACTCTCCAGCTTGGGAGTGTTGGGGCCTTTCAATTTCTTGGCCCCCACTCCTTTGGCTTTGGCTCCTGAAGCCTTCTCTTGGCCGCCCTCCTGCTTCCTGGGTTTGGTCGAGGGAAGGGGTTT